TTTAATTCATCTTCAACGGCTTTTCTTTTATGATAAGGTACTGGGTACGATTTACCTATGAATGGAGTCTCAACTTTTAGGTTCAACTTAGCTACATAACCTTTGATACAGCCGGGCCTATCTGAAAATACTTCCTTGTTCTTAATTAGTACTTCGCGCAGCCTATCTAAGTTCTCACATTGTTGACCTATTTCTTGAATTTTCTGATCTATTTTTTGTTCAATAGAAAAATCTACCTCGTCCCTATCTGTTACTTTTACTTCACTTTCATAAGAAATTAGTGACTTTACCTCATTGATTTTTTTTTTTTTTTTTTTTTTTTTAAATTTAATAATATTTCTTTATTGTAGAAATTTAATATATATATTTTACAAAAAAAAATTAGAGGACTGTAAAATTAGAAGTTAACAATTAATTTTTATTATTTATTTATTTTATTAAAATCATTGATTTGATTTTCATATTCATTTTCAGAATTATAGGCTAGTTGACTTAAAAAATTGACTCTAACAATATTTATGCTACCTATGTTCTGATTCTCATTTTGTTCTTTTAGACTGATTCTATGATACCTACTTTTATATACCATGTTTAGTGTTTTATTGTGGAAGTCAATCACAGCATTGTGTTTTGCCAAAAAATCACAACCTATCAGAAAATTTACTTGTACTCCTTTCACTACTAAGCAGTCTACTGGCAATACTAGATCTTTAAATTGTACGTCGATTTGTACTTGCTTTTCAACTTTCCTACTTCTAGCCCCAGTTATGCCTACTATCGACGTATTTGCTACTCGCAGTTCAGGTATTTCATAATCAACACTCTTTTTGACTTTTAAATAGAATTCTTCTGACAAGATAGTTGCCTGTGATCCAGTATCAACTATCCCGCCACTTGTCAATGATCCTATCTTAACTTCCACTTCCGGTAAAAACTGATTTGACTGTTCTCTAGGCCCTACATTAAAATTACTTTCATTTAGCAACTCTTCACTTAAATCATCTTCACAAAATATATTGTCAGTTTGCTTATGGCCTATCATACTTCTGAGTTCATTAGTTTTACTGTTAATCAGTTTGTTAATTTCTCTTTCAATTACTTTGAAACCCTCTATGTTTAAATGAATAAGATCATCCCTTCTATTTCCCTTGATATAAATAGTCTTTTCATAGTAATTTATTTTACATCCAGTTCTATCACTCTTATCTATGAAACAGCCACTTACATCTAAAATCTTAACTTTTGCCCTTCGATTCATATTTTTTATAGAGTTATTCACTTCGTCTAGTTTCTTAAGGTGGTCAGGATCGGTTAAGGCTAACTTAGGTATAGGTGGTAGAGTACAAACTATCATTTCCTCACTATTCTCCTCTAGTTCATCTACAAGCTCATTTAGGTCATTACTTATTTCTTCTACCCCCCTACCTCTTAAAAGATCATTGGTACCAATCATTATTATTACTTTCTTACCTAATGATTCTTTATTTTCTTGTACTAAACCTTTCAAATCCGCTATAGTTTGCCCACCTACACATAGCCCTACACACCAGCGTCCACATACTGATTTAGCCTCTACCTTCAAAATTTGTTTATAAAATCGAACCATCTGGGAATCCCCCAGCAACTCATAACCCCCCAACTTTCTTAATACATTTATTTCTTCCCGGCTATTTTCAGCATGTGGAACTGATTGTCAATTTTGGTTACCCCGGTAGTAACGGTTGTTGTTACCCCGGTAGTAACCTCTTCCTCTATGACCCCCTCTTTGAAACTGGTTACCGCCCTGATTTTCTTTTTCCCTACTTTCTGGTTCCCTATCTCTCTGATTGTCACTTTGCTCACTCTGTTCTACTACTTCTGCAACTTGCGCTTTTACTTTTACTTCCCTATCATTATTCTGGTTTGACTTGAAATTTTCCCTCTTATATGGCTGATCATCATACTTCTGGTATTGCTCCCTATTTCCTTTATTATACAAACCCCTATTAGTGTTATTTGGTAAACTTTCCCTTTCCCTGACCAAACCTATATTCCTGCACATCGCTTCCATTTCTTGTTCATTCTTTATTTCTTTGACTGTCATTACACTTTGAATCGACGCGCCTAGGCTTTCGGGAACATGTTTACAAATGTAGTTTAGGAACATTTCGATCGTCATTGGTTTGTCTAACATTTTATTTATGTCATAATACTTGAGAACGTAGGTCGCAAAATCTAGCCTACTGTTGTTAAACTCACCTTGACCCATTAACTCGTGTTCGAATTGTCTTTGTCTAATCACCCCCAATACTTTTTCTTAAATTCCCTCTTGAAATTTTCAAAAGTGTTTAGTTTGTCAAGATTTTGTCGCGCCCAGTTCTCTGGTTCTCCTCTAAGATACTTAATAATATTCAACAATTGGACTTCCCAATTGTCTCCTGACACTTCAACAAATTTATCAACATATTTCAAAAAAGTCATGGGATGAATCCCCGATTGTTCATTCTCAAATTTCACTAAAAACAATTCTGCGTTAGCACTGATGGTGCTCAAGGACTTTACTTCAAAATTACCTAGGCCTATGCTAGTGATTTTACTTTCTATCTTTTTACTTAGCTTCTTTATTTCCTCATCTATATTAGGCCTATCTTTTTCAAGTGATTCAATCCTATTGTTAACTATAATAGCCTCACTCTCATACCTATCCTCAAAATTCTTTTGTTTATTTATGCACCTATCAATCAGTCTCATATTCTTATCTACTCCTTCCCTACTTGTACTTGCTACTACTTTCAAATCACTTTCAACATTGTCTACTGCTACCTTCAACTCTGCTATGTTATCCCTATTCTTCTTACTTTCATTACTCACAACACTACACTTATCATTAATCAACTTAACACACAAGTCATGTTTGGTTTGAACCTCTAATTCTAAGTGCTCAACTCTTTCACAAACTTCACTTAACTTAACTTCAACAATCTCAGTTCGCGATTTCATTTCTTCACTTACCTTGTCGAACTTGTTGCTTAAGTCATCGATTCTTTGTGTTGTTTGTGTCATTTGTGTCTTAATGTGATCATTACTCTGTGCTATCTGTGTCATTTGTGTCATCATGGTTTGCAACATTACCATGATGTTGGGGTCAGTGTCGTTTGTGTGTGATTGTAGTGATTGGTCTGTTGTTGGGGTCACAGGCCTGCTCGGTTGATTTGGCCCTATTAAAGGGTCGGGTGTTGACTGATTTGCCAGAAGCAAAGAGTTGGGTACTGATCGATTCGGATCTAACGAAGAGTTGGGTGTTTCTGGCCTACTAGCGTTAGTGTCAGTGTCGCTCTGTGCTGGTGATAATTGAAAACCTTTAAAATCCGACATATTGTCTAGACTATTCTCAGCGACACCTCCTCTTTCGTTCACCTCCTCTGTGTTCATTTTTGTTGATTGATTTAGGCCTAGGCCTATCTTACACAATTTTATTGATTATGCAGCCCCACGTTGCTGGTCGCCAATTGTAACGTTTTGTTTTATCTTACTTTATTTTACTTTAATTTGACTGACTCTACTTTACTTGCTTTGACTGTAAGGTCTATGCCTTTTAGTAAAAAATAAAAATAAAGTACTCTTATTAAATGATCACATGTAAGTTAATTGGGCTTGGGCTCTTTAATATCTCAGGGTCGTTTTATGGGTGCGTGGTGGAGCTACATATCAATAAAAAGGCAAATTGATGTTAACATTGGTTTATTAAAAGTTACTTCATTTTACAAAAAAAAAGTTTTGGACAAATTATGATTGAATTTATGATTAATAATCAAGCCTAACTTATATTATTTCAGGGATAGGAACAAAGAGGCTATCCTACACCTAACTTATATTACAGGGTAGGGTGACACAGAGGCTATTGAATTTATAGTTTCTTTTGTGTAATAAATGTTTTTAAGTCTCATATTAAACTTCCTTGTTGTAGAAAAGCAGATTATTATTTCAAAGGGCGTAATTTAATCCCTACTCATTGACTTGCAGCATGTGGTGCAATTTCCTAGTGTACTTACAATTCTCTTATAATTCACTTATTTTATTGAACTTTATTACTGTTTCACTTTTACTATTTGAAATTATAAACATATTTTTAGTACTTCACAATCAATCACTTTTAAAAGATTAATATTAATTAAATTTCATGATAATAAATCGGAGAGCAAAGTCGCAACGCGACCGCTCTGAGCCAAGTCTGGGAAGAAAGGAGACCGATCGAGGAGTCCCCTCTCATGATTTCACGTAATGGCCATCTCCGTCCCTTCCAAAACTCAGAATTTTGGTTTCATTTAATTTTCTATTTTGCTATTGGCTGAGAGCTAACCACGTGACATGGAAAAATCGTCATAGAGGTCAAAATTCATCTTTGCACCTAATCAAAACTCTATGTTTTACATATTTTTCGTCTTCTCTGTACTTTTTTTTTTTACTGAAAGATAGCCCCAGATACCTCAGCCATCTTGTATCTAGATATTGATTTTGTTTTGACATTTCAGGTTATGTTTATTACAATTATTATTATTATTGATTTTGATGTTAAAAACTGTTTATTATTTATTAAAAAGTGATTCTAAAACCTTTTTATTCTTGAGAAATTTCGATTTTATTGGTTATTTATTGAGTTACGACGTATTTCATGATCGGTTATTATCCATTGTGCAATGGTGACTTATTATTAATTTCGAAGTTATTACCGGCGTTTAAGTGAGTTGATTTATCCTTTAATTAAATATATATTTGTATTTACCCCTATTTTCCTTTAGATTTATTGTTTTTATGAGAATCTCAGATCGTAATATGCCATCGTACTAGGCTTAGGCCAAGACTGTCTAGGCTAGTTACTTAAAATTAGTAGGCCTATAGCCTAACTAATTCTTTTCCTTTTTCAATTACATAGCCTAAACAAATCCTTTGTAACTCTGGGTGTTATCATCATAAGACCCGTTACAGGGCATGATTAAAATCAGACACTTATGTAGACATACCTGAACATGAGCCAGCACCTGAGGTACTCCTATGACAGACAACAACACCCAGCTCTGATGATCTGTCAGTAACAACTCCTGCGTAGGGAGGTATACTGAGGGTAGGAACGGTATCACTAGAGGTTCAGACACCAAGGAGTCACTGATGGCTCGCAAAGTCACGTTTGAAGACAGTACACTGGTGTTGGCAGAGACAGCTCCTAGAGCTTCAAAGTAGCACGAGTACAGTCCTGCAATACACAATTCACACCACAGCTTTTAGATATTTGTTGACTTCGCATGGATTACATTTTAAGCTACAATATTTTATTTTGATGCCAAAAAATATCAATAAAGATATTATTTGACAGCGTACAAAAAAACTTGCATGAAATAAAACAGTTTATAAGTGAACACAAAAACGTAACAAGAATATCACTATCAATCAACTTGAACAAGGAAGCAAGCTATTTCTACCACATATCGCGTAGCAGCAAGTTAAATAGGCTACTCTTCAGGTTAAATCTAAAAAAAAAAATAAAGAGAGGACTAGAAATGTTTGTACATAAGACTCCCTCTTATCCGGACACCTTTTAACCTGACATCGGTTTAACCGGACTACACTCGGCGGAAATGACATCTCTTTAACGAGACAGTTTTTATCAGCACATTAGTTTAACCGGACTAGTTCGGCAGGAAGTGGGCGGTGCTAAAACGACTGTTCTCGTGAGAAAGATTTGAGACCAGTGATCACGTGTCTAAATACAATGCTCTCCTAAATTTAAGTCAAATACTGTATACAGTATTAATTTAAACGGTCCGTTTTAACGAGTTTTTGGCGACGTCGATTTAACCGGAAAAACCGTCATCCGGACTGGCCTCAGTCCCGAGGAGTCTGGATAAGAGGGAGTCTACTGTATGTCCATTTTAAAATCAACTTCAACAACAGGAAAGTGTAAATGTTTTAATAAAGTATCTATAGGAATACAATTAATGTTCTTTGGCTTTTATATGTGTACCGTGCCAAATTTAACTTACCAGTGTGGGTGTCAAAGCTGGGTTGTACGTTGAACACATGGTGTATGTCTACAGGGGTCATGGGGCTGTTGAACCGTATCTCGCAGCTAAAGGGCAGCTGTTGGGGCTTGGTAGAGGCTAAGGCGGGGCAAGCGGGGCTCACCAAATTAGATGACTTCTCCACAGAATCATGGTCACTGAGCAGTAGCAGCGGCACTGAGAATGATCCCCAGTTGGTCAAGTTACGGTTGTTCAGCGACAAAAACACTATCTGCAATTATCATTTCAAATTTGTTATTCCCTCTAAGGCTTACAATAGGTCGTGTTTCGACATTTCAGAAACTCTTTTCTTTAGGTCTAATGGAAGCCATGAAGTATGTATTTTCTTGGTTTCTAAATTCCGTCAGTTACAGTACAGTTTTCTAATCTTTGTGTTTCTTGTACCAGAGTAGACTATTTTTTAATCTAGTAAGCCTGCTATTCTGATTGACCAAATTCCTCAAAACTTTACATACTTTTTACAAGTATTGAAATTGACAAGCAACTCAGTTTCAATTCATCACAACATTCACAACCTAGTTTCAGTTATGACATTAAACATGAAATAAGTCTTTACCTTAAACCTTACTTTCTTATTCCACGGAAATTCATTCAATGCTGTAGATTGTTTATACTCACCGCCTGTATCGGGTGCACACGTATCAGAGTGGATGTGGTGATGGAGTTCTTCAACTTGTACCTGACGAGTGCCTGACCAGGCCTCACAGCCCGAGCCACACCCGTGGGTGCCTCCATAGTCAGCACCTCGGGTGCACCCGAGCTCCACTCACCCGCCTCACCCGACCTGTCTAGTAGTGGCATGCAGAAACACGCCACGTCTCCAACAGTCATCTCACTCTGTTGAAAAATGTGATTTTTAATAAGCAAAGTTAATTCCAGTAGTTAAACTTTTGCTAACTAATCATTTAAATCTTTGTTTTGATTTAGAATCTAGGTGATTCGTCTAAAAATTTATGTTTGCAACAAGCTTCAGTTATGGCCAAGCAAACTAATTTAAAAAGCACACCAGCGACGTGTTCCTTACTACAATTCTAACCGGTTCCCACCCCGGTTCATCCTACGGTCCACACGGTGTTCATCCTATACGATGATTAGTCTCGTTGATTTTTCCCAAATCATTATTGGCAACTTTGACTAACTGCCACATAGGAGGAGGGAGCAGCTGTAATAGTAGTGGGAGAACACAGAGCTGTTGTCAGATTCAAACTAGCTCGTTCACAGGAGTTTATTGGAGACCATAATTTACGAACATCCCTCGTATTGACTCTAAATCAATAGGATTCGGTGATGGAAGATACATTATCACATCAGTGTTACCGAGTGTAAGAGCAAAGCCTAAAATCCTATTCAAAGTAACACCTTAACTCAGCTGCATTTCACAGAGGAAGGAGCATAAGTATATAAACAACTTGTCTTTGAGAACCTCATCACCCATCACTGATAGAATACATACATATTACAAAGTAGGTATATTTGATTACCTTGGATGGACTGATCAGATGGTCAACTCTCAGTTTGACATAGTCTTGCGCTACCTTGATGGTGCCAGCATCCCAAACTTTTAGCACTGATGAGCAATAGTCTACCAGACTGGCTACCACAGTTCCGTTCACTTCTCCCCGCACTACCTTAACCTACAAGTAACAAACTCACCATCAAATTTCACATAAAAAATGTACCTATGTTGAAATAACAACTCAGATCTAAATCACTGAAATATGAACGAAAAATATAATTTCTTGTAAGCTAAACAGTTAAATTTGTTTCCTAAATAACTAAATTCAATCTAATAACATCAAGAAAGTTTTGTGAGTTATTGTCCATCTAAATAGTAAATATGTAAAAGAAAAAAAAGGCCTATATGAAATCAAATATTGACATTAAATGATACAGACGGCTCTTTAGGCCAGGTTTTAAGGATTTTGTAGTGGATAGGATGAACAGCAGGCTTGCCTTACTGATTAAGAGTTGAGTCCATATAAACACATAGCTAATCAGAGGACAGCCTAAAACAAGAAACAACTAACCAACTAGAAAAAGGTGCATGCAGTTTTGAAAATTCTATGTTTCATGTGTTAACTGTTACTTCAACTCTATCCGTCAGTAAGGAAAGCCTGCTGTTCATCCTTACCACCACAAAATCCTTGAAATAAAATTCTGTTGAGAGATAAGGGTTTTCAATGGACATTAGCCTATTTTATCTCATGAGTTACTTACACAGTCAAATCTGTTCTGCTGGGTGCGAATGTCCGTGCGTGTGGCAGCAAACACTTGCCCTGCAGTGTCATGATAGCTCAATACAAACTGCAGGTCTAGTCCTCGTGGTAGGGCTGTGATTACCTTGCCCGAACCAACAGACAACTTGGTCTCTACATTCAGCATCACATAGTGGACCGGCTTCACCTGTTAAACACATTGTGAACAAACTGGGGGTAAGTAGTGTAATGATACAAGCTTGTCTAGTTAACAAGGAAGTACAATAAACACCCAGCTACCTCGCTTCAAGCTAGGTCCGTTGGTTTTTAATGAAATCAACTTGTTTTTATTTTATGAACACTAAACAAATAAACTGTATATACACAAAATATTACACATAAAAACAACCCCTGAAACTTCGACCATAATTTAATTTTTTACGAGTAGATGATTCAGTGGCATTTTGGCAACGCTTGGGAAAGTGGTCCATGCCTCTAAAATTTCTGTGAATGCCAGGGATTAAACGAGCCCCTCTGCTACCAAAGTCTGAAAAACTTGCGACAGCATCTGTTACTTTGTTTCTTCAATTTCTTTTTTGACTACAATACAGTTCTCTGTGATGTTTTCTTTCGTGGTTTTCCAGTGATTTGTGTGCTAATCTTGGGATGTTGTGGATACTTTTTTCACTTATGGACAGAATCAGATTCCAGATCCAAAACATCATAAAACAGTCTATATTTTGTCTATAACAATCCTTTCCCTTGAATAATGCGAACAACTACACTAGAAACACACCAAGGACAATACTTTTGACACCACATCCACCGATTCCTTTATCAACATATCCCAGTAGCACCCTTACCTCAATGTTGACCGGCAGATTCTGTTTGAGTCCGTTGTCCTCGATCGAGTGAATGAGCACCGAGGCGGATCCGAGGACACCAAACGCAGCCACGGTGCCTGACTTGCTTACCAACACCACAGGAGCTGACTGTGTGAGAGCTGTATTCTGTGTGCTACGACTGTCCTCAGACAACCCGACCACACTGTAGGTTATGTCACTCACCTGCAAGTTTCAAAGAATAAACTGAACTAGGTATGGAGTGAATGAAAAATTGCAAGTACATAGTGTCTAGCTTGCCATGGAACGTAAGGCCGGCCGCACACCTAATACCATCGCACGGCGAGGTGCCCAATAGAGGAGAGCTGCATACAGCACAGCAACAGCAAGACGTACACAACAGAGAAGTTCCCACTGCTTTCGAAAAATGCTGTCACTGTGCCACATGTGGTGCCGATCCTCGCGCATGCGCACATCTGGTGTGCGCCCAGCCTAAGTAAGCAATCATGGAAACATCAATCATCTCCCCCAATCACAGCAACATCTGTCATTCACAATTGATTGTGAATTTCTAACCACAAACAATGACGATTAAGAGAAAACCAATGTAAAACCAATCATGAATGGATGTCCGGCAATTGGCCATTGATGTTCAGGTTCTATACAAAATTCCATAACAATCCTCAGACTTTTTTGGGTCATTAAAATATTGTACGATTCATGGTTTCGTGGTTGAATGGACAACCTGAAATAAATTAATTTAATAAATGAGATACCCACAGAACCATATTTAAGGGGGTTTTAACCTCAAAAACCTAATACGCTAACGCTAACATTTACAGATTGTTTTAGGATTTGAGCTCAAAACTCAAGAATTTTACTTTCACTAGTTAAATACATTCCTTAAATAAATTACTGTTTTACAAAATCGTTCTCTAACAAGATATTTGTCAAGTTTCTAACAACAAATTTTACTCACAGAGTCCTTGTTGGTGCGTAGATGCATCTGAGAGAACGGAGCCATCAGTAGTGTTGACGCCTTGTAGTTGTCAGGCTTGGTGAGGGACAGATCCTCGTATATCTCTAAATCAAGTTGGTCAAAGAACTCAACGTTGTGCCGAGCTGTCCTCATGGTTACGTTGAGATGTACAGTGACTCGGCCAGGCTTGAGCCCAAGCACTCTCATAGACAATCTGTCTTTTTCGGGCACCTGTAAAAGGGTAATAAGAAATCAAAGTAAATAGGAAATTCTAGGGGTTTGTGTAGTTTGTAGGATAGTAACTTGGGCTTAATAGAAACACAACAGTGTACCAGATTCTTAAATTCTGTCTGAAAAAATAACTTTTATCATGGAAAGATCATACTAAATTAGTTATATTAATGGAGCTTGTCATAGTTATAAGACAGGACAATAAAGTCTGACATACTCGGTGTAAAGTGGACTGGAAGGGTGCTGGGTTTGAGAAATGCTTCTAACTAACTTCTTTTGTAAGACAAAAATTTCCTCTATCCTACTGCAATTGCTGTAAAAGATAATATTGTATCTGAAAATAGATTGAAAATAAGCAAGATAGGCTGTTTTATTATAATTTTGACAAAATACTCTTGAAAGCTTAGAACTTATGTAATCGATATGAGATCCCCAAGAAAAGGTCTTATCCAGATAAATATCACGTGTTCATGATTCAGATAAATAGGTTACAGAGACGTTCACGATATCACTGCCATGATAGATGTTCGCAATATCACCGCAATCACGGGAGATGATCATTGTTACCACAGGAAACGTTCACAATTTTACTGCCATCACGGGATAAGTTCATGATTTCATCACAACCGCTTGAGACATTCACAATTTACTGTGATCACGGAAGATGCAAGTTTTGTTTTTATGGCCGATTTTGGAATGGGACTTGAAGATCATCACTTTTTGATTTTACTGGAACCCCCACTACCTATCCTGCAGACCCGCATTAACTAGAGCTCCATTCTGCAGGTATGCGTGAATCATAATTCTTGGTCTAAACATCCTTTAGCTAGTGCTAATGGAAAAGACAACATTCTGTTACTCTGTGTTAACTATTTCACTTGACTATAACTAACAGCCTTTTTTCTAGTTTTTATGGTACACATCTTAAACATTTACACAGTTTACACAACTGATTTTACATAGCCTATATGTATAGGAACCCAGATAGTCAAAATGCCTTCAACAATGACACAATTTACCTCGAGCCCTGTCCCGTAGAAGACATCTTGTAGTTGCACAGTGTCCGGCACGGAGGTAGACCATCTGAACACTAGAGGTGGTTGTATAGAGCCCAGCGCCAGTGGGGATAGTTTGTCAGGTATCCCAGCAGCCCACAGAGGCATCTTGCAGCCCACCTGCAGCTTCACAAGTGGACTGTGGATCTTGACACCTGACACAGTAAAATGGATAAAATATGTATGCAAATAAAATGTGCAAACCGATTTGCATGACATTTTAAGGTAAAAATATTTTTAAATTGTATTTGTAGTATTGAAGAAAAATAATTTTTGCTATTGGGCTCCCTGGTTTCTTTTAGTGTGGACTCAGTTGAGCGGCAGTCATAAAGGATTGGCCTCCGCATCAGTCAGGCTTAGGAGACCGTACAAATTCTTGGGTTCACAGTTCCCTGTCCACAGACTACGAGAGACGTAGGAATTGGCTAACTCCGGAACCCGCTAACTTGATTTTGTCTCGCGGTGGAATTGGCTAACTCCGGAACCCGCTAACCCGCTCTAGAGCCAGGTTAGCGGGTTCCGGAGTTAGCCAATTCCGAAACCGAACAAGTTAGCGAGTTCCTCTCATCGACCAAATTTGAAGATAGGGCATTTAACATGGGGTTAGCGAGTTCCAGAGTTAGCCAATTCCGCGGACCCGACTACGACCTTAGACAAATGTACTTTTGGTTGAAAGAGTTCTACCATTTTACCCCCAGGGGAGTGAGCTGGTCTGGTAGAGTGTGGGAGTTTGGATCCCTAGGTTCTGGATCAAATCCCGCCAAACACCAATAGTTTTAGCTGTGACACAGTAGGACTATGTGTTTAGGAAGGAAATGTAAAAAGTCTTACCCTCAAGTGGAATGACGTGCACATTGACTGTATCTTTGCTGTAGACCACCTTGCTGCCAGTAGACTTGTAGTAACCAATGGCTGAACCAGTCACAGTCATGTCTCCCACTCTCTGTGCTTCTATGAGGCCAGCTCCATTAACCTGGAAAATATTCAATATACAGGGTTTACATAAAATAATGGTGCGGTTTAATTATGAAATAAAAAGATAAAGAGAAAAGGTACAAAAAAACTATTTACTTTATTGGATTCCTTACATTAAAAAGATTTTATACATATCTAATAAAGCTCAACATGGCCACCATTCCTTGCCCTGCAGACGTCCAAAGATAATCTACTTCAGCCCACATATTTTGCAACATTTCTTTTGTCACCGTTGAAACTGAAATCTGTTGTTTTTATTTTTTGAAGAAGTTGAATTTTGTAGGCATGAGCATGGAGTCTTTTGTGTAAAACTTTCTGAAGAGTACTTACATGTATTCGTAATTCAATACTACGGCGAGGGAGGGATGTCTTTGGACATCTAACACAAGATAGTCTGATGTCTTCAACTGTCTTTTTTAGATACTGGTGGTCTACCAGGTCTACTTTGCTTTTTAACTGACCCAGTGTTTATGAATTGCTTACTCCAAAGAAAAATGTTGTTTTTATGAGGCGGAGCTTTATTGAATGTTCTTCGAAATGCCCATTGCACCAAAGTCACTGAATTTAACTCACAACAATACACACTTAGCTTTTTCCTAATCTGAAAACATGTTGGTAAAAAAAACTCAAATTATTGAATAAGAAGTGTTTTGAATGGCACAACAATCAAAACAGCTGTTTTAACTAATGTGAACAAAACTGTTTGAGCTACTGAAAACAAGGATACCAACAGAAGATATTTAATTTGTCTTATAACAGTTTTACAGTATGTTAAAACCGCACCATTATTTTGTAGAAACCCTGTACAATCTAGATGCACAACATTGTTAAGGCCAAACTTTTTAGATATTATAACATCCAAATTATAAATATATGAAGATTATTTTTAACAATATTTCAATTAAGAAGGATTAAATACAAAAAGAACTTAGTAGACCACAAGCTCCTCCTATCGCTCCTACTCATCCCATCCCTTGGGTATGAGACAACAACACGTTCTGTCCCGTAAGTTTTAAGGTGTTTTAATTCTACATCGTTGCTGAGAGGCAGACGTCAAAGTCACAAGGATCATTTTCGTCATCTTGCGCGATCACGGCAATTTTCCGATCAAGCCATCTTCGCAGATGAGTCGGGTATCGGTATCAGGATCGACTTTTGACGACCAATTCTCGATACTGTACCAATACCAATGTCCAACTATCGTTTGTATCGAGAATCAACTCATCCTTAATTTTGGGGAAAGTAGTCAAAATCCAAACGTTTATCAAATCAAATCAAATCAAAATATCATTTATTTCGCAAAAAAACAGACATAACATAATATTATGATCACTGTACAAAAGTATTTACAATATTATTTATTTTTCTAGGTTATATTTAATTTTCTATAAAAGCTTTTTAAATCAAGCGAAATTATCCCCCACAAAGGATAATTTAATCCTGTGAGTGGGAGAGAGTCGTTATATTATTAGAGATTTTTTTTTAATTATTATGAAAAAAAGGAAATTAGAACAAGTTAAAAGTTGAAAGTTGCGCTGGAGGACTGAGCGAATGGTGCCCCCCACCTCCCCCCTACCCTACCCCCAAAAGATAACCTACTACTATACTTCCCAAGCACACCCAAACCCACACTCGCGCGCACACACCCACACACACACACCCACACACACACACATACACACTGCTGCACTCACTCCAACACCAACAGGCGGCTGGTAGCCCTACTAGTAGGGCCGTCAATGCTCTGTCCCTGTGGCGCAGAATCGGGAACCGCTCACATACGTGCTTGCATACAATCGTTCTTTCACTCTATCAGCTGATATGAGTGTAAATTTGTTGCCTGTAGGTTGATCATTGTCTGTAGGTTGAGATCAGTAAATTTTGAGCAGTTGATCTCCCAATGCTTTGTAGCCATAGGGTAATTTGTTTTTTGTATTTGACCAGTGGTTCAAAATATAGTTTTCGCGTAAGTTGTAGGGCAGATTGTTGTAGATAGTGTGAGCAACATAGTAACAATTTGTTGTAGAGTAGGTTCTATTTATTCTCGGTAAATAAATTCCTCCACCTAGTGCATGTCTGGTTCTGTATTCGTGTGTTACTCTTTCAAAAATGTCATTTGAGTGTTTGAATATGTAAATAGTCATGGTTCGAATAAACAATTGTCTGATGTCGAGAACGTTCATTTCATTGAAGAGAGCATCCGAAGGGTAGCGCCGACTCCTGCCTAAGGCTGCTTTTATTATCGCTTTTTGGGTGATAATTAATGGCTTTAAAATATAACCATATGCACAGCAGCCCCAGGCTATTATTCCTCCGTCAAGTAGGGACTGCACGTAAGCAAAATATGCAATTCTGATTTCTTCAAACTCCAAAATCTGCTGTAACTGGTTAAAAGCATAGATATATTTTCTTAGTTTATTATTTAGATATGATACGTGGTCTGCCCATGAAAGTTTAGAATCAATCATTATGCCAAGGTATTTATATTTTTTCACTCTATCTATCACTGGACAGTCACAATCCGAATCAAAGTTAGCACAAGAATGAATTTTCAACTCATTGATGAGTGTATCACCACGATGACTAAAAGCGATGTCATGGATCTTATTGGATTTCCCATTAGGTATCAAGTAAATTTATCATGCAAACTTTTTCATTCTTTAACATGTATTTATTTGTATTAAATCACCTTAACAGAACAATTATCAAAATTTTTTATAAAAAAACAGTAAGCCTACCAATAAACTTATTGTAGCCTACTGCTAGTTTCGCCTCCACCTAAAATTTATGTCTTGCAGATGTCTAGTTTATTAAGTTTTGTTAATAGATTAGGTTTAGATGTTTTGATTGTTTTATCCGGTATGTTCCACCTAGCCTATAACTTTTAACTTTTTAATTTTTATTGTTTTATGCATTAAACCTATGTTACCATATGTTTTATACTATGAATAACAATGAATGACAATGAAGGATTTGATTTGATAGGCCTACCTTAGCAATAGTTGAGTCGGATGAGGTGAACTCCATGGCAGTGTCGGGTTTGGGTCCCCCCACAGTCGTCAGTTGGAACAGCGCCCCCACGGGGAGGGTGAGCTGATGAGGGAACAGCCGCAAGGGAGGGAAGACCTGGAGGGGCTGAGGGTGACTGCGTATCTCCCTCTCTCCATAGCCACTGGTGAAACTTATTGACTGTTGACATAAGAAAAATCGTAAATTATCAAAACTAAGTCCGCCTAATGGAAAAGAAAGGAAATATTGTATTTTATTTCCTATTGAAGGCTAAATTACCTTTTGAAAAATAAAAATATCTTAACTAAATATCTTATTGAATTTTTGAAATATTATCAACTAGCAGAGTACCCGTCCTTCGTACGGGGTTGGAATATAAGTATAAAATGCTTATTGCAGTTATACTCAAGCTTTGCAATTGCAATGGGTGGAGGACACAGTTTGATAAAATTTGCTTTTTTTAAATTTACAGTATTCTATAGTATTACACATCTACCATAGCCATAATGTTCTACCATTTTACCTAAACAATAGAGAAAAATAAATTATCAATTCGCAAAATATCACAAATTATTCATGAAATGAAAAAAATATACATAACTGTAAACAATCCTACTTTGACAGTTCTCATTGCGAATCACAGTTTTTTGTTGCTGCTTAGTTCAAATTAGCTGTTTTCATAAATGCAAAAAAAATATAGTGCTGCACCCTGTTGGTTAATCTTATAACTTTTTAATGCTTTTCCATATCATAGAACCAACTTTTTTTAGTTGAAACAGCTGACTAAATTCTTTAATAATTCCCTTTAAATATGAATACTCATAAGGTTAACATGGGGAATTACAGAGCCACTGGGGCGGAGCCCGAAAGGATTTTTGAGATAAGAATATGCCTATATGTTAATCGGGAATGTAAGCTATCATCATGCCAAATTTCAGCCCAATCCGTCCAGTGGTTTATGCGTGATTGAACTTCAAACAAACAAACAAACACACAAACTTTCACATTTATAATATTAGTAAGATTAGTAAGATGTAAATTACAAATAGAACAGGTCCAAGTGTCGATTGCTGGACCACACCATACTCCACTGGCAATACATCGTTTAAATGTTCACCGAATGAGACAGTCTGTAGCCTATTAGAGAGGTAGCTGCTGAACAAAATTAACAGAAGCGTTTCATTACAATTTTCAGAGCTTTAATGACCTTTTTTATAAATCGCTGGGACATCATTACAGTCTCCTGGGATCATGCCGAAAATTTTCCATTTTGGTTCAGACATTTTAGCCATTGCAAAAATTCTAGCCGCTTGCAAACCTCTAACTTAAATGACCCGGCCCGAGCTTAGCTCAACAATTATTTCTCCAAATCCAAATTCACTTTATCGTCACATAAAAACATTTGTACATAGTAAAGCTATTTAACTGGTGACATTGTCAATTCAACATAAACCTAAAAATACAATTAAGTTACAGAAGATTTTTGTCTGACTCTAAAACAACAATTACATATAACAATGCTGCTTAATTTTGTAAAAAGTCACTTACAGAGTAAAATACTTGGTTTAAAAGATAACTTTTTAGAGTATTCTTAAAACTCTTTAAACGGATTTGGCTTTTAATGTTTGTCGGTAGATTATTAAAGAACTTCATACCCATGTAACTAGGGCCCTTTTCATAGATTGTTAAGTTATGTATTTGGTATTGAAAGTTGTCTTTGCACCTTGTGTTGTATGCATGTAAATGCTGCTGTCCACAAAGAAGATCAAAATTCTTCTGAATGAACAGTAAGCATGAATATATAGAGAGAGGGAAGGCTCAATAATCCTAACTGTTTAAACTTAATAACCAAATGACTCAATAATTAAACCAAATAATAAATTACTCTAAACAGATCTCTCAGGTCAACGGTTGGTTGGCCCGATCTGAGTCAAAAATATTAGGGAGTCCTGACTCCTAGAATAGATACACAAATGAAAGATTACAGAACTAAACACACTGATACTTTTCCTAAATTAAGACTCTTATTTTACTTAGACAAGATGCAGAACTCTTGTAATTTTTCTAAGCTTTTCTACATTTAAGACACAGCGGAGAAACTCACCGTCGAGCCTAATTCCAATCCGGTGATGTTAAACCTGACAAGCCCGTCCGTGTTGTCGTCTGTCAGACGCGTGATGGTCACCAGCTGACTATCTAAATGAGGCCGCAGCTCTAGCAGATCAGAGTCAGACACAGAGAGTGCGTTGTCAACTGTGTCATACAACCACACCACCGCAGTAATGGTACTGCCTTGCTGTACTCTATCTACCATCTCGACCTGCATGCTGCCCACCTTCAGTACCTACGAGTAAATATGGATGGTAAAAACATTGTCCAGGATATGATATAGCCTTATACAACATATTATAGCCTATATAATATTATAGCCTAGATGTTCAATGATCAAAAAATCTAGTACATATTAAGTAATCTTGCTCTTTCTAGTAAAACTTACTACACAATGGACATTTAAAATTATTTAAATGTTTGTAGTAAGTTACAACGGACACGTTGCAGAAAGTCAACAGTCCCGGAAGGTCAAATAATTTATACCTGTGCCGCTAGGTCAAAAACTACAATGTTTGCAGTGTCTGTAGATCAAAAATCCCAGTAAGTCAAATAGTACAGTCCGAGCTAAAAACATGGTCTATGTTAAAGCAATTGACTTATTGAGAATTTGACCTAATGCAACAGCAGTTTTAATATAACGAAATAAGATAAAATATAAGTTCAATTTCGCTGAGTCAACAGTGCCGGAAGGTCAAAAGTATAATCTGTTAAAAACAACGATAGTCCTCTCGACGCATGACTTCAATAATTTCGTGTTTTGGTGTGCTTAAAGTTGTGCTAAAATTTTGAAAATTGGCACAGAGCTCCTTGGTTAGTCCTACTCGATGACTATTTCGTTGGAACTTTAAACTATTTACCGATCTAATTAATAAAAATTGATATGTATGGTGAAATAGTTTTAAATCGTGATTTCTAACATGAAAAAGTTAGCATGCGAGATTTTTTTTTTTTGGGTTAGAGAGGTTTTGTCTGTGGCAAAGTTGTAGCTAAAAGTTTGATGCGTAAAATATATTTTTTTGAATTTCTTACAATCAGTTCAATAGATAACTTGGGTGGAAGAGGACGGCAAATTTAGCATTTCGCAACGCATGGAAAGGACTACATCGTACGATGCGACTACTGAGTGGACTTTTAATTTACAGTTCTAAGGACATGAAAAAGATGAAATACAGATCACCAGTACATTCATATTATTTATAAAACATCTTTCTGTATTACCAGCTTACATTTTTCACTTATATTAATAAGAATACATCATAAACAGGGTGTTAAAAATAAGCGGGGAGATACTTTACCTAGTAATTCCTTGGGTCAAAATAAACAGAAAATGAAGGATAACATTTTTTCCAAAATCGTTTCGTTTAATTAGATATCCGCCAATTTGTATTTTTTACATACAAATATTTATCTTTACACTTTTTCAACCGATGTTTATGAAACTTGGTATGTATGTTAAGGTAGGGACCCATGTTATAAAAAAAGATTCATCTCGATTCACCCTAAAACTTCAAAATTTAACACTTAACTACAATATAATATACTTTACTACACCACAATATTTACGTATCACCATAAATCTTTAATAAAATAAAACGTTCACATTTTTAAAATCCAAAATAAATCAATATAATCTTTCTTTTTTGAAAAATATAGTAAAAAAAAGGCGATGTTAAAATAACGACAGGCGAGTTTCGATCTGGGTGTTTCAGGTTTGAACCTAGGAGGATTTAACATTAATTAACATTAATGTTTAATCCTCCTAGGTTTGAACTGATTGAGCGGAATACATGAAACCGAAGGGGGGAGGTAGCAGCAAGTGCACTAGTACTTACTAGTGTCCAATAACAATTTAAATGGATTTAACCAAAACCTTTTCTATTTCACTTATTTTTAGCTGTTAAATTTCAAACGATACGTTTTAGCTACATCATTAACATTATTATCATCATCATCGTTTGAGTTTGGGTTTGCGGCAATGTATTTTTATGAATAAAACCTTTAATTTGATACCAAACTTGACCTCTGCTGCTATTAATTGACTGAATGGACTATTAATTAACAGCTGTGTGTAAGGATTATGTCGGCCTTAGTCACTAACAGGACAACAAGATCGCTCCACTCATCACACACTCATCTCCATTCATACTTGGATTAAAATGCATACATTTGTATGGTTGACATTTCAAAAACAGGTAAAATAGTATTAAAATTATATAAGAATTTTGTCTTAGTATTTGTGGTCCATCCCCCTTAAGGGATAAAAAAGTGATAATAGCTTAAGACAGTAGATATTTATGGCTATTATTGATATACCAAGTCTCACTACTTTATCTATATTGTTAAAAAAATATAGCCAATCCAGGACTTTTCAACCATACTGTATAAGGCCAACACGAAATTTTTCCGTTGAACTCCTCCGAATTTCTTAGGCGATTTTGACCATTCATGTCTCATTAGAAAGAGCGTGTCAAATACATTTGCAAACCAACCTTACATTTTTTAAATCCCTTGGGCTCAGCCCCAGTGGCACTTAAAGAACCCATGTTATGCCTATGAAGAACATATTGATTTATTTATATTAGGATCAGCTCAATTAGTTGCTGTTATGCAATTCAAGGATATAATGTAGGCTACATTATTAACATGTTACTGATTTGTTTGAAATACTATATTTACTATTTCAATTTGGGTTTGCTGGATAATTTAATCCATTTTACCAAACATAAAAAATTAATGGACAAAGTACTATATTTCATGAGCAATCATTGAAAGGACCGATTGAAGTCCTCATCAACCAAAAGAATGCCTACTAAAGCAAATAAAATTAAGACGAACATGTAATGCACGAAATCAGGTGGTTCTTAAGTATGTGAAAAAATGTATTGCTATTCAAAAACAGACGGAAAATTGTAAACATATTCGTGATAATGGGTGTAACATGGCTACATTATCAATGACAAACGTGGACAACCTTATACGAGTGTGAGTAAGTCCGAAAACAACTCTAAAAAACAATAAGCAATAAATTGCAAGAACCGTTGCTTATATCATTGGGTATACACGTATCTACTGACGTGTACACTCAATGCTTATATCGAACTGTTATATGTACATCGTGAGTATTTCCATTAGTTGTTCCATTTAGTTGTGTGTCCATTAGTATAATATTTTAGTTGACTCTTTTAAAGTCAGCGGAAATTGTAACTGTTATTACCCTTGAAATAATGTTTGTGTAGTACTTTGCAATCCTACCAATGCTTATAGAATCATACGATTACAATTTTCTGGTTAGAATATGTCGCATAGAGTGGTGACTACTGTATCTAGTTTTTTGAAATTCATCCGCCATTTGGCCAAATATGAAATTTCTTATGGAAAACCCTATATTTTATCATGTTTTCGGATAGAATAGGTAATTTAAAAACTTTATTACCTTTGACATTTTTTCGATAAACCCACTCGTTTAGGAGTTACAGCCTATGGAAAAATGACTTCCGGTGTAATACTTTTAATACTTTTTAGTATATTTTACATCATGTAGCTCATAAACAAGTAAGTTTATAGCAAAAATGCGAAGAGTAAAAAAGTCTAACAATTGCATCCACATTCCAAAAAGACCATAAAATTCATTAAAAATATGAATTATACTATTTAAAAAATGGCGGCAAACTTGAAAAGTGGAAAACTTTTTATTTTATAGTCTTTAAGGAATGTAGATGCAATTCTAAGACTAATTTACTTTTTGCAATTTTGCTCTAAACTTACTCGTTTAGGAGCTACATGATGTAAAATGTACACCGGAAGTCATTTTTCCATATGCTGTACTCCTAAACGAGTGGGTTTATCGAAAAAATGACAAGGCTAAAAACGTTTTTAAACTGCATATTCTATCCGAAAACATGATAAAAAAACTAAAATCATATTTTTAACTGCCACAAAAAATAAAGGAATGTCCCCCATTTAAAGTTTTCTCTAATTCTTACCGTTTCCGATTTCCCAATGGTGGCCTCCTTGACTTGATCACCCTGTATATATGAATTTGAACGGATGGTGTTTTTGGCCTCTAGGGGCCTCAAAACGAAAAATTAAATCGGTCCCGGGTCCAGGTGTTACCGTACTATAAGTACTATGGTAATAGCTTATTCCCTATATGGGAAATTCGCCAAAAACCTAATAGTTATATAGAACAATATTACATTCAACCAGCTGTTAGTTAAAACAAATTATATGGGACTAAAACAAATCGATGATTACAAAGATCCCTTTAAAAAATCATTTGAACATCCTACTATTTTACTATGCATATTTAATTAATGTGCCATCCTCATTCCTAAGAATTAAATGTATCAATGGTCATCATTACACATAGTATAAATAAGTCAACTCTAAATATGTGTCTTTACATTTGTTTCCAAATGCTGAATTTGTGTCACAAATGCTGAATGTTTACAGCTGTTATGTTAAGCAAATTATATTGTACTAAAAGCTAACTTAGAAGGTTAGCGTCGGCTGCTAGACTTTTTAAAAATTAAAACTTAATTTCTAAAAAACTGGGACCCTTAATTATAATTATGGCTTTGACATTCCCTAGTTCTCAAAATTATCTTTCTTTCATCACAAAAATAATGAAAATCCGTCGACTGGTTGATTCAGAATGTGAAAAAACCCCATTTACGTTTTAATAATATATATGATAGTTGGACAGGTTTCAACCCTTTCGAGGCGTAATACATTTACACAGTTTATGTGTAGACTACATTATAACTCATAAAATAGTTCTAAAATTAAATGGATCTCCTTTTACAAACGTATATAATAACCAAAAATTTTCAGATCGTCCTTGCGTGTATTTCATGCCACAAATTTTGACAAAAGGCTTTTTATTACATCAACTATACCTACTTACAGTGTTGACCAAACAGTTGGCAAGAAGCACGAATAGATGAGCTATGTACCAAATATGATAATTTTAGCTCTATTCTAATTATGACAAAACACGAAGTAACTAAAAGCGAGTTTTGTTGGTGTAGTAAGCGTTGCAGGAGGTCTACTTTACACTGAATCGACGTTCACTTTTATTGCTTTTGATCTTCCGGCACTGTTGACTCAGCGAAACTGAACTTGTATTTTACCGTATTTTGTTATATTAAAACTGCTGTTGCATTAGGTCAAATTCCCAATAAGTCAATTGCTATAAATATATTGCTATATTGAGTCAAAAGGTATAAATTATTTGATCTTCCGGGACTGTTGACTTCCAGCAACATTCCCGTTACAACAAGCTATGTTAGCTTAAATAACCACACTAATTATTTGTAAACTGAAGAAAGTAGGGATTGGAGGTCAGATATTGCAACTTCTCTCAAGCTACCAATCAAATAGAAAGCAACACATAGTAATTTATAAAAATTGCCACAAGTTCTTGTCCGGATGGAATAATATCAGGCACGGCGTTCCTGACCCCAGGTTCCATCCTGGGGCCAACACTATTCTTAATATTTATTAATGATATAGACTGTAATATATCAAGGCAAACTCTTCTTGTATGCAGCCTAACACAAATGTTATATGAAAAACCCCAAAAATACATCAATTAGAAATCATTGTTCAGAAAACAATAAAAGAACAATAACGACAAGCTATCGCCGGACCACTGGGGAGGGTCGGGTCTGATAATCCGTCTATTGCCCACCCCTGAGGTGGCTCGACCCTCATTAGTGCCGCTCGGCCGCACTCTATGGGGAACCCAATACCATAAATAAATTTTTTTAATGAATACAAATCATTGAAAATAATTGTTTTATTGAGATTTACCTAGAAATCTCAATAATTTGATGTAAAATTTTATGTAAATCGACCAATTTTTACGATTATTTAATTACCAATGTACTTTAAAATTACATAATTTTACTTAAAAATCAGCCGATTTACGTTACTTATCCTTATCCAAAATTTAGCCCTCTAGTTTGGCCCAATGGCGGGATGTGCATCCACCCAACGATGGCTTGCGCTATGGTTGCCTTGTGACACCGGTTTTCAAATTTAAATTGATTGGACCGAAAAATGTGATACAAAATTAGTATTAATGATGTCAAGATAAAACTACTATTACTGATGTATAAGTGAATTTACCTGTATTTCAACAATTGGAGAGTCATATGACAGACACAGATCGACGATTCTCAGATGAAGAAGTCCATCAGATTTTGGGAATATTTCAATAGTCTTGACACCATCGTGATACTGAACTTCTGCGATGTCTGTAGAACTCTGATGGATGTTGAAGAAACCCGAGCCATGACTGACTCTCAGTGTAACTTTGTTGTTGGGATGGTTGAACACTGTCGCTCGTGCAGGTGTTACTAGGGAGGCGTCCACCCATAGAATTGTCAACGAGTTTTTAATCACTGAAGACAGACTTTCACCCACTTCACTTTTAACCCAAAAAACAGGAATGTCAGGAGTGATTTTGAAATAACTTAGCATCACCATTTTGTAGCTCTTGACAGTAGCTTCCACTATAAGTGTGCCTGTTTGGTTTCTCGGATGGATTATCTGGTAATGATACAGTGGTATTAGATAGTTGTACTCTTTCAAATCTTCTAGAACGACCATACCATCAAATTGTACATACCCCAATGAGCTACTAGATAAATACCAATCTATATTGTAGCTAGTAGCGTTGTCAAAAACTCTTCCTAGGGCATCGGTGATTGTCACAATGATTTTGATTGGTTCATAGTTCAAGGCGACCATTCGGGTCGAGTCTGCGCTGTAAGGACAGGACTCATTGACAGGTGTTTCAGGTGAGAATGAAATAAAACGAGGGTTCGCACAGATAACTTTTACAGTAGAAACGCTTTCTCTGTACTTTGAGTTCCCATCAACTGCAGTATTTTTAACTGTGAGCTCTACACTGTATTCCCCAATGACTTTACACACCACCGAGTAAACATAGAACTCTGACGGGCTCGCTGAGGTGACTTCCCCTATGTGTATTCCTGTAGTCGTGTTTGCAGATATGGAACGTACATGTTCTGCGGGTCTACCCAACCACACTCGTGGTCCGCCTTTCCATACAATATCTCTCGATGTACCCAAAGCCAAAACAGTAACCCTCTTCTCCGGGTGAACCACTTCCAAAGGACTATAGGCAGCCACGTCAGTCGTCGCTTCCAAAACCACATTTTTGACTCTATACGAAATTTTCACCCTCGCAGATCCAACTATTTTGCCAAACACTGTTACCGTTGCACAAGCCTTACCTACAGGTTTAGCGCGGGCAGTCGTATTGTGGTAGAAATTATCATGCGACAACTCCACTTTGAACGGAACTTGTTGGCAATTTGTGAACGGAATTCGTTCTAAGTTTCCGTTTTTGTCAGTCCTATCTGCATACAACACGATGTGCAGAGTGATTGGCTTCATAACTGGAGCTTCTAGAACATGTTTGAGGATCTCCAGGTGGGAAGGAGGCAACACTTCTATGTGAGAGAAAGCCTTGATTGAAGGGTTACGAGACATTGCCACGCCTACTTGAGTCTCTCCTAAGCTGTGAGATCTGACAATTCCAGACTGAGAAACTGTGGCTACTGATGTATCATAGGATCTCCAGATGTAAGTGCCATCACCACCACTAGCTTTTAGTTCTACCTCGTACCTGAAATGCATAAAATTTGTTAAGAATAAGAATAGGAATGCTTTGAATAAGAATAAGTTCACATTAAACAAGTGGCTGGAATTGTGATAGACTTCAGTTAGCTCACCAGAGAAAATCAAAGTCCTTGGACTAAGAAATCTACAATAACAAGGTACACCTAACTAAATATAACACTGATAATCTGTCTTAAAACCTTCTCCCTCAGGAATTTTTAGATTAGGACGAGATACCAGTCTTTTAGGACATTTTGAATTGAATTGAATTGAAAATAACTTTATTCATAAATCATACAAGTATGTACATTGAATGGCGTCAAAATTCTTAAAACTACTTAAACTTACAACGTAATTTTGTTGCATAATATTTATTACCTAGCCCTGCACTCTAATTTTCTCACACCGTAAGTTAACTATATTCCTTTGCATTTTAAAACACTTCATTACTATGGCTATCATAAAAGCTATTGGTACAATTTAATTGAATCACCTTTAAATACAGAAAACAGACAGTAACTATCCATTATTAATGCTAACACTGTTTTGGTACAGAAAAATTGTCAAAGTGAACTAGCTTGCTTTTTGTAGGATACCTATTGATTGAAACATAAGTTTGCATCATTTTTTTTTTTTATAAAAAATGCTTATATGATTAGTTGATATGATGTCATGGTGATCTCAGGAGCTACACCAGCATTACCATAGTTGTATACAGCATATATGTTCATGAGGTTACCACCCTAATATCCTAATTACACTGGTTTGACTCAGTAAAAATAATTTTTCAAGAACAAAAACTAAAATTAAAATTATAAACCAAAAATTCCGCTCACTTGGTTACACTGGGGTCCCATGGAACGATGACATGATCAGGCACAACCTGCAACCGCGGGTATATCAACATGTCCTCCTGTGCGGTTATGACAGGTTTGAACTTGACCTCTGTGCCGCCGATAGTACGGACCGTCTCTAGAGTAGCAGTGACTGGCGCAGTGCCGACTTTAACAGTGACACCGTCCACCACAGTACCATTCCGGGTCATGTCGGTTGTGCGGAAGTAACTCTCCGAGACTTCTGTCCGAATGTAGACAGAGTCTCCGATGTGGATCTTGTGGTTGTTCCTGAAACAATCAGACATCGAGTGTGAAAGAAGATGCAGGCTACTGGTGGATTGGCTACAGTAATAATGTATAGATTGAGAAGAATGCTAAAGGAAACTGGTTTAAAATTTTTGTCCAGGTGTACTTCTCATTGAGGTGTCTGCTATGTCAGGTGTACCCTGGCTTGATAGGTATCAAAGTTAATATGAATCAGTAGTAAATTATAGGTGAGAGAAGATTTTTATTGACATAGCCTATTCAGCAACACTGGTCAACAACAACACAGGATACCTATCTATATAAATAAAATTAGAGTTTTGTCTGTACATTGCTTAGAATAATGAACTTTTTGGTTATTTTTACATTTCATAGGTCAGAGAAACCGAATCAAACCTTATCTCAATTTCTGTCTGTCTGTCTGTCTGTCTGTCTGTCTGTCTATCTGTCATTCTCTTGGTAACGCTAAAATACGCACTTTATTACAACTACTCCTCAATAACTATAGCACTGTCCCGCCTGAAACTTATTTTCCAAATACTATACATATATGAGATGGTTTTAGACGTATTTCATCGAATATGAGACAGTTAGATATTTAACAGTAAACCCTTGAAAATCAAGTTTTTGTCGATTTTTGACGTGGAATTTCTGGAAGCCCATGTTAACCTTATGAGAAATGAAATTATTGAATCTTAACAGCTGTTTCAATTAAACAAGTTGGTTCTGTTCTGTGATGTTCAATAGCATTAAAGTTACAAGGATTACCAACAGGGTGCAGCACTAGCACTATTATTTCTTTTACATTTATGACAACAGCTAATTTGCAACCTGGAGGCGAGTGAGCGTAGCGAACGAGCTAACCTGAAGGCAAGTGAGCGTAGCGAACGAGCTAACCTGAAGGAAAGTGAGCGCAGCGAACGAGCTCCAACATACAGGTGAGTGAGCGTAGCGAACGAACTTCAACCAGGACGTGATTGAGCCATGCAAACGAGATCAGATAGTAAAAATAAAAGTAAGCCTACCGTTATAGGATCGACCGGCAGACACAGAGGTAATTTAACCTTTTATTGATTGTCATACCGATCCGGAACAACAAAAAACAACATAAAATGAAGCTATGTATAATAGTTTGGCCAGCATATCTTAAAATATGCAAACCAACTGCTGTTCTTTATATAAGAAGGTTTCAACTGAATATTATAAGATCCCCGTGCGTAGAACGGGTACACAGCTAGTTCGAGGTATATATTTTGGATTTAAATCTTCCATGTGACCACACACTTCTTCATATGACCAAGAGAGGGGAGAGTTTGTTTAAAGTCAACACTACAACGCCTGTACTCACACCAAGTAGCCTATTGTGGTCTTGCCTGCTGCTACTGTTAATGATTCGTACAGCCTATTTCTTTTGATAATGCAACTACCAGAAACAGTCATACTGTCTGTTCTCACTAAGAGTGGTGTATTGTGATATGGCCAAGCGCTACTGGTAATGATTTTACTGCTTGACTATTTACCTGTCGTACAGCAGAACTTGAATGGTGCAAGGCTCGTCCACTAACACAGCCCAGTTGTTATGTGGCTGCAGTGCAAGACGTAAATGGGCAGGTTCTGTCACAACAACAGTAGCTGTAGGTAGCTTGACTACACCTGTTTCCCCATCCAGTACCCTGTTCAAATTAATTAGTGTTATAGCAGCTCAGTAAAATAAGATGATGAGGAATAAAAGAAATATTTCAGTGTAAAATTTGTATTCACCCCATTAAAAAAATTGTATTTATTGTTGAAATGGTTATTTATAATTTGAATGTTTGTTTAGTCTATGACCACACTAGTTTTCAGAAAAAAATAAATAAAATGAGGTGATATTCCTAAATCCTTGATTCCTATAAAGGCTAAAACTCCATTAAGTAATAACATTGGATTGAATTTTTTTTGTTAGTGACAAAAAATTTATTTCATGGCCATTAGCCTACGAAAAATTCATGATATAGTAAAGCAGGGCTCTAAAAAAGTTTGAGGCTCAAGCAACCTAAATCGTAAATCCCAGGCTTGCATACCTCTAGTTTTAACACAACCCTACGCATGAATTTTGACAGCACTCAAATTATAATGTTCACTTGTTATTAACGCATAGGTTTACTTCTCTAATCAGCTTATCAGTGGTTGATTACCTGTGTCTATCGCGCAACACCACTCTAGTTTGTCCAAGACGCAGACCTCTCACAACAGACACCGAAGCGTCAATCACAATCACATCACCATTCTCTACATCCAGTACATACTGCGGAGACGGCAGCGATATCTCGTCCAGTCTGCCATTCTGCATCTACAATGTAACTAAACTGTAACATTGTCACTTAAAGACCATTCTTAACTTGAGTAATTTGGTAGTCATCAGTGCTACTTATCAACAATTGTACAACAACAACAACAACAACAACAACAACAACAACAACAACAACAATTAAAATTAACATTAACTAATAATTATTCAATAGGCCTACTATAATTTTAGATCAACCAACAAAGAAAATATCTTTTAAAATAACGTCATATTACTTGTTAATTTTTTATGGTAACAGTGTATCCACAAGACCAAAACAAAAATCCTGCTCATCTGGTCGAGAAAATCCGGCTTTAATACAATTTTTTTTTAATCACATTATATCCCACATGTATTTCCCTGTTCTATTTCGAGTGAACTTTTTGGTGTATAATATTTGAATAGCTCTAGTATCGTATTTAAATAGATCTTGTATCGTATTTAAATAGCTCTTTCAACTTTGCTACAGTACTGGGCTGGAATAAACTAATCAATTGGGTTTACATGAAACATGAAAATCATTATAAAAAAGTAAAATCTTGAGCCAAAATCTTGTTTTATCTTGCATCCCGTTTTAATCAGACTGCCCGTGGTCTGAATATCCTGTTTTCCAGATAAAAATCCTCCGTATGGAAACACTTGGTGGAAAGTTTAAGTTATTCTACCTCGTATTTGTTTGTAGGATTATTGTTCTCTTCTTGAGATTCACTTACCTGCAAGAGCCGAAACTTGACAGTGTCGCCAACCAAAATATGAGTGTCTGGGGGGTCTAGAAGCAGGTTGGCCACTACGGTCAACACGACTTCTACTTTTGCCACATCACTGTACTCTGCATGGGGAAGCTGCACTGACACCTAGTCATACAAAAAGGTACAGGCATTATACAGCAATAAACAGGTAATTAAAAAAAGCAATTTAATTTTGTAAGATGAACCAGAAGATGTTGATGGGTTTTGTGGTAAGAGATATTGTATATAATCATAAACTAGAGGTTCTAAAGACTTAAATGCTTCTTAGGCTTAAGCTAGATCATGGAAGTGTCTAAAGAACATAGCCACAAGTATCAGCAGATAAAGTTCTTTCAATTTAGAATCGGAAATGTTTAAAAACTTGCAATCAATAAAGCCTTTTCTTTTACTCTACAACAGATGTTTAAATAGCAATGAATTTTCTGGTTTATAAGGATAGTGATGAACAGCTCATATGAAAGACAAGAATAAGAAAGAAAAAAGCAAATGGTAATATGTGATGCTAAATGGGCCATAAAGTATATAAACAAGCTTGATAGTAACAAGCAGTTTCCCGTTTCCCTTGCAGTATTCTTCAACCTGAGTTTTCCTCCTGGTAAACAATTGAACCTATCATAATTCAAAGGTAATGCAGACCTAATTTTTTTTTAAACACCAGTTACTTTAGCAGTCTTCTCCTGGCAGAGATTTCATCTTAGTACAGTTTGAACCGGTATACATAGTATAAAACTACTTCAAGCCTAACCAGTTTTCCTAGTTACCTTGGCCGCTCCGGTTTTCACCCCTTCTATCAGCACCATGCTGCCTCGCTGCCCCAAAGAGTCAAATTTGGCCACGGAATGTGGAACTTCGTACGGTGAGTCAATAAATGTGATGAACCGAAGGACTTGACTTGCAGCTGGAGTCTGGAAATTCTCAATGTACCACTGAAACTCCACTCCCTCCAAAGTCGTGAACTGGTTTCCTTTAAAATTTGCAAAACCGTGAACAATCTTCTCAAAATGTAAGACTTTTACTTCTTTATTTAAAAGTGTTAAACGGGTTGTTCAAGTGTGTGTTCTGCTTATTATTTTCTAGCTTTGAGGACTGACATGGTCCATTACATGTTAAACAACAACAAAAAAACTATTCTAGATAGCAAAATCACGTTGCAGCAATACAACTGACAACTAAACAGAATGCTACAAAAAAAGAATGAAAATTATCTGCCGTTTATTTGTGTGTTCTTCATTGTAGGCCTACTCTTGTTTTAGTTTTAAAGTTATGGTCTTCAGCAGAAAACGATTAGAATAGACAGATGTTATTGAAAAGCTTGAAGATGGTTGACAAAAATAATTGCTAAATTCAATTTAAGATTTGATATGCATGCCTTTACACCAATAATTCAACATCAATTAAATTTTGGTTTATGTTTAAGAATAAAGTGATAGCAGCTACCTAATCTTAGGAAAAGTCCAGTTACACATACACCAAATTTTGTCCACTGGAAGATATTTTCAAGTGTAGACCCAACAAGTTGTGCTAGCTGCTATAAATTTATTGTCAAACTCAAAATCATAATCCTGGCCTAGGATCTTTCCTTAAACAAAACTAATTATGTTAAGTTTTTAATGACTATAAATATATATTATTAGAATAGGTATTTGCAACTTAATTACTACCTACCGTAACTATTCCAAAAGCTATAAAACCTTTTTTTCAAAAAGAAAAAATATCTAAAACAAGTCACAACACTTATGGGTACCAATTACCAAATGATTAGATTAGATTACTATCAGGATCAAGTTTTTAAAAATGTGTTTGAAAAACATTAAGTTATTAGAGAACTTACATAGCTACAGAGGTCAAGCAAAACTTTGACCTACCTTGATTATCGTAAGCACGCACTTCAAACATCTCCGGAGCTTCTTCCATGAAGAGTTCGCGAGTCGTTGTTACAATACTTAGAGCCTTGATAACATCGACGATGACATCACAACGCAGCACGTATCCCGTCCTCACTTCCTCGGCCAGTACAATGATGGTGTTTCTTGTCGGTTCTTTGGTGATTGCTGACACAACCGCTTTGACCGAGCAGCCATTGTCAATGTCTGCATCGAGAGGTGATACTTGGACTATGTCGGGCCTTGATGACGTCCTGCAGAACAAATATTTAATACAAAAAATTGTAGACCTATTAGAAAAATAAAATCCATTAGGCTCTGTCTATCTTCTTATATCACTAGCCTTCTCTATATATATTTAACTTACAAAATATTTACACACGCCACTGGTATTGCAGTCAGGCAAAACGAGTTAACACGACCATGATAGCAGAGTCATGTTTGGGGAAGGTCCTTCTTTTCCCATTTAGCCCTAATTTCTTAGACCAAGAGTGCTAGAATTATCAATTATAAATGATCAATTATCAATCATTGAGATGGGGACGCCACCTAGGTGCGTATTTTAACCCAAATATGAGTGAAGGATGAGTGTAGAATGGTGTGTGATGATCTGTGTAGCTTTGTTACTGACTAAGATCAGCGGTTTCATTAGTCAGGATCATTTATTTAAAGCCCAATGATCAAGAACAGCTGGGTCCAGTTTTGAACCTTCAAAAAGCTACTGACTTTTCTCAGGATCGAACCAGCGACCTTTTGAATTTGGGACATTCATCAGCTGAGGGTAGGGGGGCTTTCTAGGTTTAACTTATGGTTAGGAAGATGCTTTATCCTTGCGATGTGCCTCTTTTATTGAGTGCTCTATTGTCTGTTATTGCCAGTTTCAAAATTGTAAATTAGTTTGAAAATAATAGAGTAGGTGTAGTCTTTTATGGTTTATGAGGGAATTTGAACCATTAATATTTGTACATGATTGTATATTTTGTAACTTTTTTCAACTCATGTTTTAATGATGAAACAAGAAAATAAGGACCTCGTAATTGAATAAAAAGTCCCCGTGAATATGCCACAAAAGCTGAGAAATGTGCATAGAGTGATGGACAAACTACTAGTCAAAGAACGCCAACGCAGGCAACAATAATAAAAGGTAGGTAATAAATAAGCAATATTGTTTGTACTTTATTTGATAACATATTATTTAGGTTCTTAGGCTGTAGTATTTGGTCTCCTGCTAAGTAGGCCTTGGTACTTAAATACATTTTTAATCAGAACAGTAGGCCAAGCATTAATAGCATAGTCTTAAAAAACATTTTTAGATCAAATGTGAAGACCTATCCCAGATTTAACTCTCACTCAGCCATTAAAAATCTAGTAGTGTCAACACCCAAAAGAATCTAAGACCGCAGTTGTTGCTGGCTGGTAGGCTAGGCCAGATAGGCCTATTGCAGCGGTAGGCCTACAGTGGGAGAGAGATCTGATGTTTACAGTTGATATCAGCTGATCATTTTAATTACGTAGGCCTACAAGCTAAAAATTCACAGTGGCCATTAAACTAAAGCATTAACCATTTATCATAACTTACCATTTGTAACATCCGTCCTCAGATACTTCCAAAGTAAAATTTGTAGAAAACTGATTAAATAAGGGTAATAGAACCCTCGGAACGTTTAATTTGGAGGCATCTACTGCAAATGATATGTTAATTAACAATAAAGAATACCACAACACATCTCTAAATTTGCATCTCGCCATAGTGAATTAATTCCAAGATTAGTTGAATTATTTAAGATTTGTGCGTCTCTGCTTCTTAGTTGCCTAAATGAGGCTGTCTTTGGTAAGCTTGACCTATATTTTCATTTCGCCAACATTTCTCTGTAGTTTCCTCAAATTGTTTACCCTCTGGATTATCTGTAACAATATGCCTTAGTTAGTAACATTAACATTAAATTGTTTCTAAGGTTTATTTTGGTTGAGTAACAACTAACATTTTTGATGAAAGCCTCCGGATTACGTTGAATATATAAATTGGTGTAAATACCTACTTCTGTGTAATTCAATAGTTGCAAGGTTACGCAACTAGTTTCAACTTCATGAAGAAGACATCTTCAAGCCTCCAGGAGATGTCACAATCACTTCATGAGAAGGTCGTCGATACACATAGGCTATGGACCTAGTATATTTACACACGAACACGCACACGCACACAAACACCAACATGGTACGTAAAAAGGGACCTACATTTACAACGATTACGAGACAAATAAAAATGGTAACTTAGGGATAATGCGTCACGACCAGATGGACATAATGTGTGACATAAAAACAATATCCCTAAGTTACCATTTTTATTCGTCTCCTAATCGGTGTAACTGTACCGACAGATAGAGGATAAGTTGCAGCTGTGTATCGACGACCTTCTGATGAAGTGATTGTGACATCCCCTGGACGTCTGAAAATGACTTCATCATGAAGTTGAAACTAGTTGTGTGACTTTGCACAACTATTGGATTAAACCCAGAAGCAGGTAGGCCTATTTAGACCAATTTATATAACTAACAAGTTCACATAGGTACTCGTATATTTAAAAAGCAGGATAAAACTAAAAGATTTGTTGTGACGTTTCTGATAATAGAACATGGTCATTTGTGTATTAGCCTAAAGAATAATTTAATCAATTAGGCCTACAGCCTAAGATTAAGTCTAAATTAAGTATACACTAAGAAGAAGTTAATTAGCTATGGAAAAGTTTATTTCATGGAGCCAAATAGGCCAACCTATCAAAGATTTGTGGTAATTTGTTGGGCCTACCAATGCTTTCACGACTATTTTTGAGTTAACCTACCGATTAGGTAGGCTTCTGGCTCTGGGGAGTTGGAATTTTTCTGAGGTTTTCCCTAAAACCTCGTATTAGGCCTACCTATAAATGTTGCAGGGAGACTGAATATAAGTAGCCTATACCCCTATTATCGGGGCAAGAAGTTCAATGGGACCATCGCCCTCCCCCTACGACCAGCATTTTTACTCATTAGGGGGGTAAAGTCTATAGGACCTAAGGCAAAGTGGATAGGCCTATAAAGGGTCTCCCTGGAGCATTGCAACATCTTAGTCACTCCCCAAAGCCCTATATAATAAAAAGCTCGTGACAAGTAAGCTGGCACTTGGGCCTAGCCCGGGCAGTCTAGGCAGGGGATGGATGAAGAGATCCACTAGACCAAACTGCACCAGACTGCAAACATTTCGCTGACTCATGGGGTTTATGCTCCCTAACAGGAAAAGTAGGCAAGATAAGTGGTACAAACTAGGTAATTTGGATAACCAACATAAAAATAAAAGGAATCCACCTAAGGAAAAAACAAATTATTCCCCTAATACCCTAAGTAAAAAAGGGGGCCTGCCCTCTTGTAGGGAGATGGCCGATTGAATTCCTCGCTCCAAAAATAGGGGGTAGGATTAATTTCAGTCCCCTTGCCACAGCATTTACGGGTAAATACATGGTTTAACACGTTCACTGCTGAAAACCTTTACACAGGCACTCCTAAACTGCGGCGAGGCCCCGGCGGAGCCCCTGCACGCTAACTGAATCAGAGATCTTTATTGGCATTGAAATATCTCAGTAAGACGAATCACAAACGGGCAGTGGTGATTGTTCTGCGTTACCCCGAAAGTGGTAGTAGTTCACTGAAACACCCAAAGGTAGCAGCACTGCCTGGATCTATAGCCAGAGTCTTTGTACTTATATTAGCTTGAAAAGAGAAAATCCCCGAAAACGGGACAAAGGCATTGATGGACCGGGGAATGTTTAGTAGGCTACCAACCTACACCAAAATAAAGCTCGCATTCTAAGCTACAGGCTGGGAACAATTAACTTGTACAACGTTCCCTGGCAATGGCTGAGCTCACATTGAAGCAAAGTTGTTGGCATTGGTGAAGGACGGCATTTCCCGCCCCACACCAGAGGCGCCGTACCGCGGGGCCAAAATTCCCGCCCCTCGCACTGAGCATGTTAAGGGAAAAATGCCCACTCCTCAGAGCCAGAAGTCTACCAATCAATGATTTTACCTATGATATATGCCATGACTACAGTATCGTACTGGATTTCATTTTCATCCATTTAACCTGAATAATGCCAAAGGGTCGGTAACTTCGTTGCTAAGATTGCTTTGAGTTTACTTCATTGCTACAGATTGAACTCAACATTTACATTATCAGACATAGGCCTAGACAATGAATTTTGTGTAGGCCTATTAGATATAAAACAAGTAGGCTGTGTGTTGGTTAGGTCTAGGCAAGTCACATGTCACATGAAATCGGTGGAAAAATACAAATTAGGCCTAGCCTAGAGTGAAAAAGAAAATATAACCTTACCGCATTACCACTTACCAACTTAAAAACACGGTACAGGGTGGGTACCTACATTAATAAAAACAATGAACTCAAACAATAATTACGAGTCAACCATAGACAAGAATATTGTTAAATCTCATAAATATACAACTCTCCCATGTTATGTTCACCTCACGCTTACAAATTAAATTAATAATAGTCACAATCTCAAATCTCACCCTCCACGATCAAATTTGAGGTTAAGATCACAGTTTACCGCCATTACCGGTTCGGCTTGTCCGTTGCTGGGAAAATGGGAATGGACCGATGGACAATCAATGGTCCATTTCCAATTCCACTCACTCCAGCTAATGGAGCCAATCAAAGCCATTTCCTTTATTCATTCTCGTCACCCTTTGTAAATTGGATTAAAAAAGTCATGAAGCTTTATTATTATGTTTGGTTCGAATCGTAGATTAATAATTCAAATAATAAATTAATAATAATTGATGTTTTGAGTCATGGATTCTTAAGGGCGATTTACTATGATTTCCTGAGAGGAAAATCCATGATCAATGGCTATACATGTATTCGACGTTATCTTTGAATCGGAACTGAAAGTAGACTTTTTGCCCTGCTAAATAGTGCTAAAAATGTTAAAGGTAATTCATATAATAAAGTGATGATAAATAGGATACTTAAACAACAAAACAAATAATCTATGGTTTGGTTAAAGTTTATTACACCGTTCATAACCAATAAGAGTAAATTTAAGATTTAGTACAGTACTCATTTATTTATTTTATCCTAAACTATTAAAAAACATTTTTTAAACCCCCTTCCCCCCCTAAAAATACAAGTAGAGTACCCGCTAGTTCTAAAGTTATTTAAATGAGGAATGAATATAACTTGTTTATGGAAGTACTAGCTGCCATACCCGTGCTTCGCAACGGAAAGAGAACGATAAAGAGAATAATCAAACTATGCTCTATAGATCTGCTGTATGACATTAACTCATAATTAAATGTCCACAATTGTGATGAACCAACACCAACAGAATCATCATCTTGAAACACGAGGTATCTCTTATTAATAATTATAAGAGAGCTATTATTAATATTTTACTAAGAAACACTCAACACACTTTATTACCCTCCCTGTAGCCTGTAGCAGCAATCCTAGGTGCTTTTTAACCCCAATGTTATTGGAATATAGATTTAATTGAAAATCCAATCAGGCTAATGGAAATTAGCTTATAGTCTGCAGGTTTGCTGCGACAGGGGTATTCTAATAAGTAAATAAGTCTCCAAAGTGCAAGAAAACGCGTCTTTTAAAAGCCACTCTTTTGCAAAAAGATGGGTCCAATCACGGCCACCTTTAACTACAGGCCGTGGAATGGTAGAATTGGCAACGTCACAAGTGTTGTTGTCTAGCGCCAGACGTCCCATAAGATAACACGGCAGACAGGTGACATCAGCTCAATAATTCGCACTTTATTGATTTAAATTTATGAAGATAAATTTATTAAAATATTGAAAATAAAACATACAGAATTGAAAACAGAAACAAAATGAATTAAAAATCTATATCTGATAATTTTTAAGCGGAGTCAATATTGTCATAGTCCAGTAACCAACCTTTTGTAAATACACAAATACCATTAGCTGCTTCCAAACAAAACAGCTGTTACACTTGCGACGTTGCCACTTCGAAGGACGTGGCCTGGAGTTAAAGGCGGCCGTGGTCCAATACTATCTTTTTTTCGTTTGTGTACAAACGTTAAAGAATAATCCGTAAAGGAGGGGGATAGTGGATACCAATGTGGAGATTTCTACGATGGAACCAGTAACCAGTTGCAGCCTCGCTTGAGGAGTAGTCAGTATCTATAGTTACTAAAAGAGAAAACAAGGAAAATATTAATTTCCAGGATATCTGATGTATTACACAATACTCCCTTGGTCCTCATAGATCAATTAAAGACAGTGTAGTGTGGTGGTTCCTGCCCGGTTTACATGATGGCGTTTTGCAAGTTTCCTATTTTTAAACCAATTTAAATCTATTCAAACTTAATGTAACATTATAGTACCAAGCAATTGTTAGTACTGTAGTGTTAAGGCCTATTAGGCTAATTTTCATTTGCCTGATCGGCTTTTCCCAAAATATTTCTTTTATATTCATCCCCTATTTAAAGAGTACTTACAATAGGTTTACATGTAAGGTAGTAAATTGTATTTTTTTATATTGAAAGCTTAGTATGAAATGCATAAATTTAGTCAAATATATCCATAAACAAACTATAACTACTTCATTTTATTTATTCTCTATAACAATAACGTAATTTAAATTTTTGTTTAAATTTGTCTCGATAACCATTTAGGTTACATCAAAGTTTCAATATACTTGATTATGTTAGCTTTGTTTAAATTTTAAGACATGATTTAGAAATTAATTGCAAAATTTTATTTTACAAGGGTCGAGATTGGAATAGACCAATTTTACCCCCATTATGCTCCCACAAACCCCATTTCCTGAAGGATGATTATGCTAGTTTGCAAATTTGTTTGAAAAAAAAAACAGGTTTATTATAAACACCTTTTAGCTATTAGGTTAATATATTATATGCTTGTAGGGTCTACTAAATTTCATCAAAATGAGATGATTTTTGCTTGAGTTATTGTGCTAAAGGAAACAGGTAAATAAATATGAATTAGAGAAACACTCAAATAATAGAAACTCAACATGAAACAAACCTCAAAACAGATTTCAGATTTTATAGTAGAATGATACTGTTTCTAAGTCAATACTGTAATGTTAAATTAAACTCACAAAAACACTTTAATTCATTTTTATACAGTTAAATGAATAATTCCTACAGTTACCTGACAAAGTGGGCTTACTTGCACTGATTATAGTACGCAAAGTAGCTAATTGCTGCATTTACTTACTTTTGCCACACTCTTTATACTTTTGCCGTATTCCAACCAAACAACACAAAACATTGTGCTTTTGTTAGGCACATCAAAAGCAAATACATGTATGCTTGAAAATAAGTTGGCAACACTTAAAGATACGACAACTACACGTGCTGTTTAGTGTTTGAGGGACTAATTATTTATACGCTTTATAGTAACTGTAGATAAAATATAATATGAAAGCCGGGGGCAAAGGGCCACTACGCAGACTAGTTACACAAATAACTATATAATTTCACCACCTTTTGATTTTTTTTGCCAAAGAGGTAATGATGGAAAATTAAAAAAAAAACATCACACAATCGCTAGACTTTTTATATTTACTTATAAAATGTAAATACTTAAAATTTACACAAACGATATACATGAAATACAATATTTACAACTGTACAAAACATGAGCGCTGCAGTCTGTAAATCACCAGCCAATCTGAAAAAATAATTACAATAATTAAATTTTTGTTGTGTTTAGGGAGGAATAAAATTATCAATAGGCTTCGCCTTTATAAATAGGTTAACAAGAGGGGAAGTACTGGACAAACCTAACCATGAACCTCAGTAATCTTGAGACGAGGGACAGCATTTTTAAACTAAGTCTCAAGGTCCGATCACACTGTAATACTTTTGCAAAAGTAGAGAGAAAAATTCTATTTAAATAAATAAATAATTTAAGTTTAAATAACTGTAATCCGACTAAAAAAAGCCGAACCGATCAAATCAGCAACTCAGTTGATTATCACTAGTTTGAAAATCATTAAATAAAGATCTACAAAATCGGTAAAAAATTAATAACTGTCCAAAGATCAGGTAGACTAGGATTACAGGTAGCCTTAAACTCCAATTGGTTAACAACCTGTTTAAATGTTACGTACTATGAAAATGACAGTTCAAACAAAAATTGTATTTTACATTAGATTAAAAAACCCAAATTATATTAGTTATTACATATCTGAGCTTACCAGGGAATCTGTATAAGTTAAAATTATTCTAAAACAATCAATTCCAGCTCATATTATTACTAAATAACTCCTTTACCAAAAACTTACAAAAAGATTTTACCATACCAACATACTTTTCAACTTGCATAAAATGTATTCAAATTGGGTTAGGTAAGTTTTCTTTAACACCAGTTTGTGGTTTAGGTTGAAATAGCCTGAAACATACAATGTAGCTGAAAAGTCTTATCTCATTCATTTGACAATGAATTGAGCAACAACATTTATAATATATTAATTAATCAAAGTGCATGTCAACTTTAGTCCTCTCTTTTTTATTGCCCTGTTCAACTCTTTGAAATGCTTTTAAACTGTATATACTTGTTATTTATTTTTTTTTTTTAAGTTAAATTTAGTTATTTATTGCATTATATAACTGCATACATATTTTAGACTGTAATTGCATACGTATCAGTTATGTAGGGGGAATGGTACACTAGGTTCAATACGTTGAAATGAAAATAAAATAAACATGGTTTAGTCATATAAAACTAATCAAGAGTCTAAAGTGAAATCTGCTAGAATGATTTATAACTGTGTTTTTAGTCATTAAAATTGCTATGATAACTTTTAGTTAGGCATACAATTGAGGAGTGTTAATTTGGGAAACTTCTCAGAGATGTAAGAAACAGAGGATACATTCAATGGTACACTCAAGTGGTGTCTAGCAACAGTAGCTGGTGTCTAGCAACAGTAGCTGGTGTCTAGAGCAAATTCTAATCATCCTCTACCGCTCTCCTTTCCCTCCTCGCCATCACATAGCTTGATTGTAAGAGGGTGGACTCATGGTCCAAGCACGTCAACCGAAGCTTATTGTGCATCACATAGCTTACTACAGCGCTCTTGCTGTAGGAAGACCCTGTGCGCTACAACTGCTGTACAATTAAGCTATGTGGCTGTCGCTGTTCAGGCTCTTCCTTTCTTGATACTAGTACATTTCCGCCCCAACATACCAGAGCTAAAAGCGCAGGGTTGTCCCATAAGCTTGTATCCTCTGTATCTTGATACTCTGTGGACATTTTGATGCCTGTTCACTTTAGTATAGCTCCACCAAGTGAGTCATGGGCTGAGGAAAACAATCATGAAGGAGAGCTATATGTCTCTTAGACATGCCTCTCTACACTAAAGATTTTCATCTAAAAAAACTTCTGGTATTTTTTTGACAAATAAAAAGTAAATGGTAGCTTTACAAAATGTCCAGAGGAAAAATAAGTTGAACCAAGCAAGTAGTTAGGTTTAAGACTACCAAAAGCAAAACTATAACATTTATTAATTCTTTTTAGTTTTAAAACATTCTGTCCAGGTACATTTACATAAACTTACCAATTGTCCCCCTCGTGGAAGCGAGTGCGCATAGGCACTATGCTGAACTTGGGGTCCCTGCTGAACGGTTTGCGCAGCACGTTGGCTGCGTGAGTCAACTGTAGAGCACAGTCCGGGTGAGCTCCCCCAGGGAGCAGTGTGCATTCTCTCTCCAAGATGGCCGCCAGACCATCCAGCAGCGAGATGAACCCGAGGGAAATGGCAGCACGTCTCACACGGTTCAGCTCCTAGACAACCAAATATTCACATTGTAAAATGTAGTTCACCGTTACAAGAAATGAAATGAAAAGAAATATGGCACGTCAGTTTTTCACAACAAAATATAAATATTATACATTTTATTGTAATTAATTAGTAATATATTAACCCTTTGAGTGCCAACGTCCGGGGAACCGGACGTTTTTAGAACGAGCCAAAAGTGCCAACGTCCGGGTGACCGGACGTTTTCAGAACGAGCCAAAAGTGCCAACGTCCGGTTAGCCGGACGTTTGAAAAACGCGATATTAAAACGCGAAAAAGACGATTATATGCACATATTTTATATTCTTTTGAAAGAGAAAGACTTCCTCTTTGTAAATAATGCGTTGAATCGGCGATAATTGTAATCATTCACTTGTTATAGTACTACGTTTTCATATGCTGTAACACAGAGATCAAGATGGCTGTCACAGCTGGCGCGTAATTGTCGACATCGTATTTCACTGTCTGTAAACAAGTTTTTGGTTATGTGCGGTGTTTTTACGAGATGTTTTGTTATTGATTATTAGTAATGGATCGATCTAGATCTCCACTAAGTGACAATGCAATTGCAAGAACTCTAGATGACGACTTTTTAGATGATAGTTTTGTGAGTGAGGTTTCTGAAATTGAAAGTAGTTCTGGTGCCGAATCTGACAGTGACTCAATTTCTGATCTTGTGGATGATACCGATAGTGACCCCGATTACGACCCCTATGAAGGTAACAATCAACGTAGGATAGATAGGATATTACAGTCCTTTGGTAATAATAATTATTCAACAGATGAGGAGGAGGATAGAGTGGACAATCCTAGGCCTATGCCAGCACCAAACCCTGCACCAAGACGTCGGGGTAGACCTAGGTTAGATGCACCTAACCAAGAACAAAATCTTGAAAATAATGAGGATAGTGAGGATGGAACTGGTTGGACAGAAGTAAATGAAGAAAATGACCCTGGCGGCAATAATCCGTTTACTTTTCATGAATTGTCTGGCGTGAAACACTGCCCCCCTAGGAATTCATCTCCAATAGATTATTTCAAACTATTTTTTACTGTTGCTTTGTTTGATATGCTAGTAAAATATACAAACAAATTTGCTGATAATTTTATTACTGCAAATGCCCACCAACTCAAAGAACATAGCAGGGCCAAGTCCTGGAGACCGGTAACTCGAATCGAGATGCAGGCTTTTGTAGCAGTGCTACTAAATATGAGCCTAAATGTAAAACCTACAATATTTTGCTATTGGTCAAGGACTAGCAGTCAGTTTATGCCTTGGTTTCCAAGAATGTTCAATAGGAACAGATTTCAAGCAATCCTTCAGTTTTTCCACTTGGTTGACACAACAGAACTGCCTCGTCCGCGCGAACCTGGGTATAACCCGTGCGCTAGATTTCAACCAATAGTTGACCACATGAATAGGGTATCTAGGTTTCACTTTACTCCTAGTGAGAACCTTTCAGTTGATGAGAGCATGGTAAGCACCAAGGCCCACTCCCAGTTGTTACAGTATTTGCCCAAAAAGAGACATCGGTGGGGCGTTAAATTATGGTGCATTTGTGATTCTGTCACACACTACTGTATGTCCTTCTTTGTGTATCGTGGAGCTAAAGGACCTGACAAAAGGGAAATAACACAGAAGGGCCTTGGTTTCTATGTTGTTGAGAAACTACTGATGATGACAAACTTACTTGGCAAGGGGTACCACGTGTTTGTGGATAATTTTTTTACCACAATAAAACTAGCAAAGTTTTTGCTTACTCAGGCAACGAACCTCACAGGTACATTGCGAAAGAAAAGAAAAGGAATACCAGAAGTAATGAAAGAGAAATTTGAAGTAGGGCAGAAAAAGTATTTGAGGAAAGACAACCTCTTAATGGTAGGATATAGGCAAAAAAAATCACAGAAAAACCAAGTCCTATTACTAACAACCAATGGCAAAGCAGAGAGTGAGCGAAGGGCAAGGGTAAGGGGGACGTCAGTTCATGTCACAAATAAGCCTAAAGTAATTAGAAACTATAATGACTTCATGGGGGGAGTAGATGGCTGTGACCAAATGCTTTACCAATACTTAGATGACAGAAAAACTTTAAAATTTTGGAAGAAGGTCACGTTTAATATTTTTAGCCGTATGCTCCTCAACTCCTACCTGCTGTACAAACTTAACACTGATAAACCAATGAACAGGCTGGCCTTCAGTATATTTATTGTAGAGGAACTGGCCAAAGAATGGTTAGTTATCCAAGAAATGAGACCCAACATAACTGACATAACTAACATAACTCCGACCAGAATCTCCCGTGGTGGTGGCGACGCAGACAGCCCATTAGTCGAAAAAATTCCAGAAAACCGGGAAAAAAACTGCTGTGTTTGCAGCAAAGCAAGTACAAGAGAAGGTGGAAGGAGAAAGAAATCCACATTTATGTGCAAAAGGTGCAAAAAAGGATTGCACCATAAGTGTGTCACTCAACATCATTGCTAAAATATGTTCGCCAACAGTTTCGCCTTATTGTAAATATTTTTTGTATGTTATTATTTTACTCAAAATGACTTTTTATTATTTTATCATTCAGATTTGGCACTAAAATAATTTATTGGATATAAGTTTAGGCCAAATTATTTGTAGAATAGGACTATGAGGCCATGATGACTTTAGTGTGTGATATCTGTGCTGCCGAGGAAAAATGTATAATATTACTAAAAACGTTGTTACCTCATTATTTGACTTTATTTTCTCATGAAACTTGGAATGTTTGTTGGCAGTTAAATATAAAACAGAGTGGTATGAGTTTTATTCAGTGAAACATTTTTTTCTCACATGATACACAGCATTGAATATGGAAGTTTTTTGAAAAAACTTTTCAAGGTATGTATTTTTCATCATTTTCACACTGCCTGCTGCATGAAATATACTTATAAATTGTGTTATATTGTAGAGTAGTTATTTCTCTGTAAATAAAAAAAAAAATTAATAAAATTGGTTGATAAATAAAAAAGTTATAGCGTTTATACTGAAGTATTGCTAAAAGCCACAAAAAGGGCCCGGCATTTTTGGGTAGGCCTAGTTATAACTCACATGGCACTTTAGTGTAGTACCTGACATAAAGTCTCCGGCACTCAAAGGGTTAAAAATAAGGCCAGAAGTTTAAAATATAACAAAAAAAGAGTGACGTTAGTTAAAAAAAATTCATCAACTGAATAAGGACAAAGTATTTCCAAATGTTCCCTAAGTAGTTTTTTTTTTTTAAATATCCATCTTTTCTGTCGATTTCATTTGGTTAGGGAGGTGGTTGAATATTTCCTACCCATATACAAAGGAGCTTTCTCATAAATTACTGTTCTATGGAACTGAAGAGTGTTTCTATGTTGAATGTTATAGGCCCTAATTAATATCTACTGGAATTTTATCCTTGCAGATTATTCAATCTTGCCTAAGGTACTCTCATATTGACCTCAACTATACAAAATGTTCTTTTTGTAATTTGTTGTAATAAATTCTTGATTCCTGTTGAGAGTTATATGGCTGTTGATGATTTTTATATGAGAATGAGGTCAAGTGTTTTAAATAAATATATATGGTCGATATATAGACACAGCATGATTTGTTAATAGTTTCAAATGTACAAATACCCCCGCCGCAGCAAACCTGCAGACTAAGCGAATTTCAACTCGTCTGATTACATTTTTACTAAAATATTTCCATAAATAAGACATATTATTCCCTATTTAAATAACATTAGATTTAACGAGTGCTTAGGTTTGCTGCTACGGGGAAGGTAAAAAGTGTTTTTTGACCATACGTCAATAGTATAGGATGAAATAAATAAATTTGCCAAATTTTATCAATATATACCCATAAACAAGTAAACTACAACAATTTTCATTTTCTCCATAAGAATAACATGGGAATTTTTAATTACACTATTTTTGAATTTTCTCCGTGACCGTTAGGCATACAACAGCGCTTCAATATACTAAATTATTTATTTTTTTAAGCTCTACAAAACAGTTTAGAAAGAAATCGCAAAATATTTTGTTTTTAGGTTGAAAAATGGGAAAAACCCATTTTTACCCCATAAAACCCCCCATAAACCCCCGTTCCCATGGTCCGATTATGCTGGATCGCGAACTCGTTCGAATAAACGTAGGTTTACACGTTTGTACCAAATTTCATCAAAATCGGATCATTTTTGCTCGAGTTATCGCGCTAACGGACACATATATATATATATAAATATATATATAAATATATATATATATATATGAATTTGAACGGATGGTGTTTTTGGCCTCTAGGGACCTCAAAATGAAAAATTAGATCGGTCTCGGGTCCAGGTCTTACCATGAGTACTACGGTAATAGCTTATTCCCTATATGGGAAATTCGCTAAAAGGGGACGACAAGAAGTACGAGGTGCCGTGTTATTTAAAACTCTTATGGCCTTTTTTTGAAGAATAAAAAACCATCTATGATTGGAGAGCTGCCATAAGAGAAATAATGCCATAGGAAGCCCTCGACATAAAATAGGAATGGTAAACTATTAAAGCAGCATTTAGTCCTGTTATTTTGAAGATGACCCTTAATCCAAACAAAGCTTTAGCTGACAATTTAGTTACCTGAAATTCATGTTCTGTCCATTTTAAATGTTCATTCACATACAAACCCAGAAATTTTTTGTTTTCAGAAGCATTGATTTGTTCCCCAAAATCTAGGCTGATGGTTACCTTTTCTGCATTTAACTGTGGATTGTGGAAATGAAGTAAGTGCGTTTTAGAACAGTTGAGATGATGACCATTTTGTTTGAACCAAAGTTCCATTTTGTTCAAATTTTCCAATGCTTTGATAGATGCTAGGGAAACAGATGGGGTTTCGACCAACACCGTGGTGTCATCGGCAAATTGTATGATTCTGGAATCCAATGTGGCAGCTGGCAGCTAGATCATTTATGTAGAGAATAAAAAGAAGAGGTCCAACTTTAGACCCTTGAGGGACACCATGAAGAACCGGACACCAGTTTGAGACATTTTTTAATGTTAGATCTATCTTTGATGAAAACTCGTTGGTAACATCCTTGATGATAGCATTCGAACCAGGCCAAAGAAAAACCGACAATTCCATATAGTTTAAGTTTTTCCAGAAGAATATCATGCACCACACAGTCAAATGGACTGGACAGATCACAAAAGACACCTCGTAGGTGAGATTCAACAAACTAACACCTCGAGCTATACTTGGGCTTAGGTTTTTAAAATGTTAAGTTAAAGCAAAGTAATTGTTTGGCTGTAAAACTAACCTTGTAGAAGTGCTGTGTTTTTTCTGGCAGTTTCCGAGCGTGACGTAATATCTTTTGTATGTCAGACTGTAGCCCTGCTTGACGTATCCAAACTACATTGCTTTGTGAGTAGCTTCGTTTCTCTGTCGGTTTGACAGGAAATGTTTCCTCAGGGTCTATAACATGAAATGATTTCTTAGATAAAAATAAATACATTCGTACCTGTTTTGATACGCTTGGTAATGAAAGTGATCATCTAATTTAATATTCGTTCATTTTACTGTATTTAGTTTTCCATATTATTTACTCAATGTTTCCTTACAAAAAATGTTCCTTTTAACAGGCAGAGAGAGATTTGATTCTCATGTACTTGTAAACTCAAATTTTCATTATTATATTAACTAATTAACAACTCATATACAATGTGTATTGACGTACGATGATTAATGATTGATAAAGAAAACCCCTCAATATATTTCATATAAGTTTGCCAAAAGACTGTTTAATAATTAATATATAAACAGTCATATGTTTTTCAATTGTTTTGTAAACAGAAAATAGTTTAGTATTTTGTTTTGTTAAATACAATAAAGAAGATACCTAGTTTTTATTAAAATTTATTTTGTCATTTCTAATGTTTGATATTAATTGTCCGTGATATCAAAGGAATTGAATCACGTACAGTATAGTGACGATATAAATTGGCGACCGTGACAGGATTTTAAATTTAGAAATGACAAAATTAGGAGTTGAAGAATTAACAACTGAAATGCTAGAGAAAGGCCTGGAAGAAGGTGAGCAGAAGGGGACAGGAAGCAAAGCCTACGAGCTTCGATCACCGGTAGGACGGAATACCCAGTTGGCAGAACAAATACCACAACCTGACCCGGTGAGTATTCTACTGTCCAAAATTTCGGAGAAACTAGATATCCAATCTGAGAAACTTGACACACAGTCGGCAGATATTAATAGTAATATGTCATCTTTTATGGAACAAATTTCTCAAAACTATTCAAAATTAGACAATAGAATCGAATCATTGGAGTCAGATGTTGTCGTAACCATTGATAAAATTACGAAATTAGAAACAAACTTTGTTGGTAACTCTGATAAATTAAATGAATTGGAAATTAAAATTAATTACATTGAAACTAAATTTAACAATAAAATGCAAGCTATTGGAACACAGATATCCTCACAGGAAAAGACAATTACTTTGAATAATCCAGAATCCCAACTATCATTCATGCCTACTGTAGATCCCAAAATTATCAGAGACAGCCTACCGGAATTTCATGGGAGGTTGGAGGAATGTCCCACAGCGTTTCTAGCTACGTGCGAGTCTTTGTTAAAACGGACGTGTATACCGTCAGAAATATATCTGCAGATTGTGAGCCAACAGTTGAGGGGTTCGGCAGGTACTTGGTGGCAAAACATTAAGGGTCTAAGTCTAGAATGGGACACATTCAAACATGAGTTTATGCAGAGATTTAATTCAGAGGCTGTCAAAGCATTAATCACTAAGAAATTCTTGACGGATGTTCAACCTAGTGGCATGAGAGCTGGGGCATTTGTTATTCAAAAGTTACAGTTGTTTAAGAGAATGAATGATCCATCAGGTGGGAGGATTGACGAGAGTGTTACTTATATTGTGGAACTTTTACATGATAAGATTAGGTCTCTCGTTAAGGTAGCTCAACCAAAATCATTTGACGAGCTCAGGAGCATAGTAGCAAAACTAGACGAAGAGGTAAGCTTGTATTCCTCAAAAGCAAGATCTTTTAACCTTGTTAATTCCTTTAAATGCTATCAATGTGGGCAAACTGGGCATGTGAAGGCCCGTTGTCCGGAGAATCATCTAGACCAGAACCGTTCCAATAGGGACGAGAATGGTTCTAGAAGAGTTTCTAAGTCCCAAAACTACAAGTCAGAACGAACCTATATTGGTCAAATTTCTAGTGAGAGTGTGGGTAATCCCCGACCGGCAATTGGTTTACAGATTGGTGACAAATATTTTACTGCAATCCTTGATACTCAAGCATCACATTTGTTTATTGACATGACGGTGGCGAAATTGTTAAAACCTGTTCGTCCAGACGGCGTAACTGTTGTCAAAGGTGCAGTACAAGATATAAATTACAAAATCGAAGGATTTACTTTTCTTGAAGCCAAATGTTCTCAAGAATCTATTCACATTCCGGTAAAAGTGATTAAGGATTTAATCCCGGAAATCATACTAGGGCATGATTTCCTTGTCAAATACGGTGTGTTGATAGATTATACAGCAAATGAAATAATTTTTAGCATTAAAAATAGAGTCAGATTGGGATGGTTAGAGGACAAACACTTTGATTTGGGAGCAGAATTAGAAAACAACATTTTGGATGAACTGAAAACGGGAATATTGGATCTCAATCAAAGAACAGACTTGAATAATTTACTCAGTATCTTTCCAGAAGTAATTACAGACAGAATTGGGTTCACTACTACGGTAAAACATAAGATCTCTTGTAAAGATGACACTCCTGTCAAACAGAAACCTTACCCTCTTAACCCCGACAAAGTAAAGGAAATGGATAATCAAGGGCTAATTGAACCGTCATCTTCAGGATGGGCTTCACCAATAGTATTACCCAAAAAGAAGAACGGAGACTACAGACTTTGTGTGGATTTACATCAAGTCAACAATAAAACTATTGCTGATAGCTTGTCAAGAAAACCGGTAGACAGTGGTGAGATATCCAAAGAACTCATGGAGAGGGAAGTTCCAGTCCCAATGAAGTTAAGACAGATTGAGCCTGTTCTTATGGTGGCACAACGGGAAAATTGTGACATTGACTTGGAACTGATAAAGAAATGGCAGAATGAGACCTACACTTCGATTCGGCGTCGTTTCTTCTGGGTAAATATGCATCGGGACATCAAGAACTACGTCCAATCCTGCACTATCTGTGCCTGTACCAAGGCTAACAACCAAAAAGCTAGTACAAGCATGAGTGGACGTCGGCCACTTTTTCTTGGTCGGGAAATAAAAAGAACTGGTGATTGGAACTTCATGCATGAAAAGTCTCCTGAAACTATGAATTTGACTGCATGGCATAAAGAAAACGTAAAACAAATCAAACATATGAATCGACAAGCCGAAGAGAGTTCGAAGAGCAAGAAGCAGAAGACCATAACGATGCTTCACCTGGGTATAACTTAAGGTCTAGAAAGAGGAAGATTTGAAATATATATTGAGGGTTTTGGGGGGGGATGATTGACGTACTTTGCAATAAATTAATAATTAATCATTGATAAAGAAAACCCCTCAATATATTTCATATAAGTTTGCCAAAAGACTGTTTAATAATTAATATATAAACAGTCATATGTTTTTCAATTGTTTTGTAAACAGAAAATAGTTTAGTATTTTGTTTTGTTAAATACAATAAAGAAGATACCTAGTTTTTGTTAAAATTTATTTTGTCATTTCTAATGTTTGATATTAATCGTCCGTGATATCAAAGGAATTGAATCACGTACAGTATAGTGACAATATAAGTATCAAGTGTTTATGATAAATTCAATTGAATTGTTGCAATAAAATGCAGCACAAAAAGACCATAACAAGAAGACTAGGCCTATGATTCAATATATCGTATTGTAGGCTGAATATAAGGGTAGAATGGAGTGGAATGCTTTAGGTTGCTTCGTTACTGAATAAGCTTAGCTGTTTCTGTAGCCTAGACATTAATTTAGAGCCCAACGACCAAGGACCCCCCGGTTCAGTTACAAAACATCACTAAGTTTGAATCTTTACTCTGAATCAGACTAGCTATCTTTTGATCACTCAGCTATAAGACTCCATGAGTTAAAGACGTAACGTTGAGCACGAGGGCTTCAATTTAGGTCTTAAGGATTTTTGTGAGGATAACAGGGTTACTTGAATGGAAAAGTCAGGCCCACAGTTTGCATTTGATGCACAATGAGCCAGATAAATAATTACGCCCCTCTCCACCTACATTGAAGGGGGATTTCGCTTTTCCTTGCGCCCCCAACAAACCTAAAACCTATTTTATAAAAGTGGCCCTTGAAACAGTCTACACTCTGGCACAATAAACACAAACATAAAATAATATTTCACAGTTAAGGACATAATTTTTGTGTAAGGTGTTAGTTGTCATGTTTCTAATGACAGAATCAACATTCAGGTAAAACAGAGCTAGATTTTCCACTAGGCAAGCAAAAGGAGGCTGCAGCAGTTTGCACAAAAACATTTTTTTTTACAAAAATTGAATTTTTATTTTCTAAAATTAATAGTTAGCCTAGCCACAATTGCATGTGATGATGATGATGATGATAGTCCCTGTGATTGAGGCAGTAAAACTCTTTAAAACATATTCTACAAAGGTACAAGTATGCAGGCACATACTTAGTTTATCAGATTCTGCTGTCCCCAGCTGTGTAATGTCTCCTAACCAAGGCACTGGGTTGTTACCAGGCTCTAGCAGAGTCAGCATCAGGTTAGACTTCTTCTTGGAGTCAGCCCAGGAGTAGAGCAAACCGTACCATTCTGGGGCTACTTGACATAACGCCACCATATTCTCTACCTGTGACAAATTATACCACAGCCTTGTAAGTTCCAACCCAAAAAAATAATTTATTTAGACATGTCCCATCACAATTGGTAAAAAACAAGTTTTTTGATACAGTAGAACCTCGCTAATACGACCTCTGATGGTCTGACTCCTTGCTTGGTCCGACCGTGCCGCCAACACAATAGGCTTCCGCTAACATAACCTCATTGTCCAAGAAAAGCACCCAGAAAACTTTATAAATTGTGTTTTTTTTTAGTCTAATGTGTTGAAATTCATTGTATATTTAACCATGTCTGTCCATTATTAATATTAAGTAGGCTCCCACATTATTGTTTTTGGAAAGTCACAGTTCATTTGACAAAAATAAAATGGAAGCAAAACAAAGGAATGCCGATCAAAGCTTCAAGGTCAAGCTATCCGTTTGCACTGACAATCGTCTGCTCCTTAGGCCTACACACAACACATCTGTCTGCTGTGCGCTTACTATGTCACAACATTTTGTAATTGGGTATTTTTGGTAATTATGACAACTTTAGTAGCCTGTGATTGGGTGTTAAGTAACCATAGCAACTTGTTGAAAGGGTGGATGAAGAGAAACTTAAGAAAGAATAGAAGAACAAAGAGAAAGAATAAGCGATGTTTTTATGTCATTGTTATCTTTATCGGTGTATTTTACGACTGTTGTTATGCTACTATTATTGTAGTAGGCTACTATTTTATACGTTTTTTATGCCTTACCTAATGTTTTTATCGACATTCTTCTGTCCTGAAACAGCGTGGCAGTGGCCTATGACTAGCAGTAGCTTACTAGACTTTCTAATGTTCTGTTCTTTATTTTGCTGTACAATGTTTGGCAATTTGTTTGAGTAAAGTTTGAAAAAGCTGTGATTTTAACCGTTTCAGTTTTTATTACTGAACTAAGGGTAACGACATAACATAATTATCATGATTGCACAATAGCCTACTAATTGTATTTTTATGATGTAATATGCAAATTATACATTAACGTCCATTTCGTTTAAGAGTTGGAAATAACTGTTTTATATCATGTTGGATTAACTGTGGTTATCAGTTATCCGCGGTCTGTTCAAAATACAGTTTTACTACGTTTTTATGTCAATAAACGCGTTCCTCTGATACCTTTTTGCTGTTCCGACCATGCTCCCGGTCCCGTAGGTGACGGATTAGCGAGGTTCTACTGTATTTGGCATTATACAAACATATCAAGATTAGTACACAACCTCACAAGAGAAACCCCACAGAGTGAAATGTATAGTAGTCAAAACAAGAAATATAAAAACTGTTGGAGACCTCTGTTTTGCCACTGAGGATGCCTCATCATGGCATGGGCGAAACCTCTAGCTTTGTACATAGTGTAATACTAACTTGATGTGGCTCTCACCGGAAGACAGAGAATTCAGTATTTGTTGGAGACCTTAATTTATAGACAACTTTTGTAGAAATGAGCCATTTGATGTCCTTCTCAAAAGTCTACTTTAGAATTATCATGTCCTGTAAAATAATAATAAACAACGAACAAGCATTTTTCATTTGAATAAATACACATCATAAGGACACAAAAAATAACGCTAAAATTTGGTCCTAACACCATCGAATCTGTTCTCCAAATATCTCTCTTTATTAGGCCAATGTTTTTGTAGCCTTTTACTGAGTATACAGTATACTAGTCCTTGGACTCTTACTTCCTCAGATAAGCTAATTCCTTTAAAAGTTATGAATCAACAACTTGGCTTTTCTTTGAAACCTCAACTTAATTTACCTTGAGTGCACCGTGCAGTAAAACGCAGAAAGACGGAGTTTTCCCCTCATCATGGGACGAGTCGTCCTCGTCATCCGAGCTATCCTGTTTGATTGGAGGAGCTGCGGCAGGAGAGGGGGAGGGAGGGAAGGGCAGTACGAGGTGACGAGACACAGCGGCAGGGTTACCAACGTGAGCCATGTCTATAAAGCCACACACTCCAACCTCACTGCCTACACTGTACGTTTGGCAATCAAAGTCAGTGATCTTTGTGTAGGGCTGAAAAATATAAATAAGTCTTAGATTCAAACAAATACATGATTAAAAGTGGGTGTTGATGATCCGACATATAACATGGGTTTTGGATGATCAAGAACGTAAAATTAGCGAAAATAACAATAAAATTACCCTTTAAGCTAAGATCTATCTACTTATGATGCCTTACTATGTACTCTTGGTTTGTTAAGGATAATTATGTTTTGAATCTTTATAGAAAACATAGGCTACACATTTAAAGAACACAAGACAATAATTACGAGACATTACCATAGGTGCTGGAGACAATATCACTTTGGAGCTGAGGTTTCCGCACTTCAACATGCCGCAGAAGGAAGCGTAGTTCTTTTCGGCTAGTTGTTGGAACAGGTTGTAAATTGACTGAGGCGAGAGACAAGAGTCTACTTGCATCACAGAACCATCTCCTCCAGATAACCTGACTACCTGGGATAAAAGAAACAACAGTAAATAATTTACACAACCCAGACAGGTCCTAGATCAGTCATTTGACAATGGAACAGAAACACACACATTAATCATAAAGTGAATGATTGTGCTTTGAGAGCATCACTAGGACAGTTCAACCTTACAATAGAACTATGATTTTTCTTAGACAATATTCATTAACCATCTTCGCTCTTACCTGAGACAATATTGGATTGGTCGGACCTGGAGGTGCCACAACGACCACTGACAATTTCCCTGGGAAAGCAAACGGCAAAGGTGACGCAAACGGCCCGATCTTACTGAGAGCTTCAAGTTCCGAATGACGACGACTTGCTCCATTGGTTACCAGAACTACCTGTAAAGAGATGTTTATCCATTTTGTGTATTTCACAGGCATAATAAACTACAAGTTGTCTTTTAGGTTGTTGATATTACTTTAGAGCAGGTCTTTGGGTTATGTTGTTGACTCTTGTCGAGTAGGTCTACTAGCCATGATAGGACTATCTAGTACCATAAACAATGCCAAATTTCACCATCGTTTACATTAGGAGTTTTGAGAGAAAAAAATCTTATTATCATTGTCACTTAACATTTAAATGAAAAATCATTAGTTTGTTTGTATTTGCAAAGTGGAACAACCCAAATCTGAATTCTTCAGTGCAAGATCTCTACTTGAACAAGATGCTCATATAAATCATCAACATGACACTTTTAGTCGGCATCTTGCTCAGACTGCAGCAATCTTAACCGGTACTGTGTGCAACAAGCCTGCTTGGTTTAGCAAATTTCCCTTATAGAAAATAAGCTATTACAGCGAGTATCATGGCACGATATGGACCCGGGATGGTTTACTTTTTTGTTTTGACGTCTCAGAGGCCAAAAACACCACCCGTTCAAATTCATGTAGGCCTAACAAAGATAAATCTTGTTTTAAATAATTTTTTCAGAGTCCATAAATTGTATGTTTTATTCAAAACACCTCCTCCCTAGGTCGAAACCCTTAAGCTAGCAACAGACAATTATTGATAATTTACAACAGCTTCAATTAATAACAAGGCAATTTAGGTTTTTAAAATAAAATCATCAATACCTGACAAGGGGTAGTGCTTCCCCATTCTCCCAACACTAATTTGTTGACTCCGGTCAAGACTGGCACCAAACAGCTTTTGTCTTGCTCTTCACATTGGGCAAGTCGGCTTTTCAACACTTCAAAATCTCTAGTGAAAGTTGACAGGACTTCATAAGAAGAAGAGTATGTCATCTAAAACAATGTTTAAGATGTAGTTTATGGTAATTTATGAACAACTTACAGGATAGTTTAAGGTGAGAGGGTAATCTAATATCCTAATAATGTTTTATGTGAATCAATCAACAGCTTACTATAGATATACATCTAAACTTCAAGAAGACCAAATTTATCAGGTTAAAATTTAAGCTTTCTTTAATAAAATATTTTGTGTTGATGGTAAAAAATGTTACTGGCATCTATTCACTGGCTTCTATTCCATTAATTAAATATAAAAAGAAAGGCTTTCTAGCTCATTAATGTAATCTTCATTTTTGTTGTGCCTTTACGATAAAACTTTTCTTAATTTGAAAATATGATGTGCACAATACAATGAAGGCTATACAACTTGCTATTTTGGGAAGTAGAGCCAAATTTGGTGGGCTTCAGAGTAAAATGTGAGGCTATGAATCAATTTATTTAGAAAATTGCACCAATCAAACACACATTTTTGTAGTTTGAATTCTTCCTCTAAACTCAATTAGCCTACTTCATAAAACTTTTATGATACCTACTGCCAGTGCTCAATTTGTGAGTTGCCGGAACTTTAAACTTAGATGCTCTGATGGGAAAAAATAAACAATAAAACTGTATGCAATTTCTACTTTTCTGTAAAATAAAATAAAAATGTAAAAAAAAACATAGTTGAAGTCTGACATTGACATTTGACACTTTTCATGTATGTACATACAATATGGATAGATGGATAGAAGATGTTTGATTCTGATTCTGAACCTATTTAAGTTATGCCAATATTTTTATCTTTCCGAAAGAGAGGTTCTGGAACGCCGTTCCACCCCAAATCGAGCACTGCCTACTCCAAATCTGACTGTTGAGTTAACACTTAAAGTGCCGTTGACATGTTTGAACATGAAAATTGCATTTATTTCAATGTTAAGCAATGGAGGGAATTCCCGTCATCAGCACCCAACGTGTTAAGCAACAAATAATATTAAATGAGTAAAAAAAATAACAACTGAGGGTATATTAATAGAATAAGTTACAGGCAACAAAAAACGAGGGAAGCTCACCTGATAAAATAAGGTAACAATCATGTCAGTAATTGTTAAGTAATTTTGTAAATAACTTCTTGATCAACATTGTACGTGTAATATATAAGGCTATATTACATTGCCAGAAGATTATTGAGTTCGTGTGTGTGGTTGGCTGCACTGCTGAGTGACGTCACCGACTAGGAACGATGGCACGAAGCGGAGTGGAACGGCAGTCGGAGTTAACATGCTAATTAGTAAGTTGTCCCTAGTATCGGGTTCTTTTAATCTTACTAAGTATCAGTAATACAGTTATTACATTTGGCGACGAGGATGGGATATTCTCGAGGTTCCGGCCAGCAGAAACGAGGAGTACTACCCTTGTTGTCAAGAACCGTACTCTGACATAACTTTCAACCTCACAATGCGGCGGAAGACTCTCTTTTACACTGTCAACCTCATCATTCCATGTGTAGGAATCACATTCCTTACTGTCCTGGTCTTCTACTTGCCTTCAGATTCAGGAGAAAAGGTGACATTGTGCAGTTCAATCCTCGTGTCCCTGACTGTGTTTTTCTTGCTGCTTGCCGAGATCATCCCCCCTACATCACTCGCCGTGCCTCTACTCGGCAAATACTTGCTGTTCACCATGATCTTGGTCACGCTCTCTATCTGTGTCACTGTGTGCGTCTTGAACGTACACTTCAGGTCTCCATCTACACACAAGATGTCTCCTTGGGTTAAGAAAGTATTCTTGCACATAATGCCAAGGATTCTCATGATGAGACGACCTCCGTACTCTCTACGAGACTCTTACGATGAAACTTCCCCGATGGTTAAATTAAATCCGCGTGTGCGTGAAATGTCTAGTATCAGTCGGATATCGGAGTTTAATCCGTACGAAGAAGATATTAGTTCGTATTTGTTACGTTTGAAACACTTTTTCAAGGCCAACGAGGTCAAGGACGTGAAGCAGGTCTCCATCTTGATTACTGTAATAGGCCCTAAAATATTAGCCGTCCTCACCGATCTTATTTCTCCTAAGAAGATTGATGAAGAATCTTACGATAATTTGAGCAAAATCTTGGAAGATCATTATTCTCCTAAACGCCTTGTGGTCGCTGAGCGTTATACTTTTTATAGTCGATGCCAGAAACAATCTGAAAGTATTGCAGAGTTCGTGGTGGCAGTGAAGCATTTGGCTTCGACGTGTGAATTTGGAACATTCTTATCGGATGCACTGAGAGACAAGTTAGTTTCGGGAATTAAAAATGAAGCAATCCGTCAAAAATTACTTTCCGAAGAAATGGATTTGAAGAAAACGTTGGCTCTTGCACTCAGGCTTGAACAGGCCGAGAAACAGACAGGTCTATTCTCGAATTCAAGTGTTCAGGAAATTTCCAGGTTTCAGGTCAAGAAGAATCCACGTGTTTCCAACCGAGGTTCAAATTTTCACAGTGCGGGATCTAAATCAAATTCAAGTGATGTGAAGGGAGATATGTCTCAGATAAATAAGTGTTTTCGTTGTGGCAATCCAGAGCATAGGGCTAATAATTGCCCGTATAGTAATTACAAGTGCCATGGGTGTAAAAAGTTGGGTCATATCAGTAAGGTTTGCAGGTTCAAATCAGAAAATCCAGTGAAAAATTCCATAAAGAGTGGTAAATTTAAAATCCATCAGATGGAAGAGGAAAATAGGCCTAGGCCTAGTGGTGGTCCAGATGAAGTGGAGTTTGAAAGTTTGTCTTTGTACAGTATGAATTCTGGTGATAATGTTTCTGCCTTTAAGGTAAGCCTAGAAATAGAGAATGTATCCGTATTAATGGAAATTGATACTGGCTCGGCACTAACTGTGTGCCCTCAAGAATTGTTTAACAAATATTTCCCTCATGTACAATTGAGTACTGTAGATATCAAGTTGCTTACATATTCAGGCAATGAAGTCAATGTTATTGGACAAGCTTTAGTCAAAGTAACCTACATGGACCAGACTTACCAGTTACCTATGATAGTCGTTAAGATTGATCGTACGAACCAGCCTATGCTTCTAGGCCGTAGTTGGCTACAACATATCGCTTTTGACTGGAAATCTATTTTTACTTGTAATGTTAATAGCCTATCAGGCAGTGTTAAATCTAAGGGTGGTGAACCTAACCTAACCCTAGGTAAGGCCGTTGAGCCTAAAGTCGTTTCTGGTTTGAAACAAAAGTATGCCTCTGTGTTCAAAGGAGGCCCTGGTGAAATCAAGGATGTTGAGGCACGTATTGTGTTAAAAGAGGATGCTGTGCCAAAATTTTTTAAATATCGCCCTGTTCCTTACGCGTTGCGTAAATCAGTAGAAGATGAGATTGATAGGATGATTGCTGAAGGTATTGCTTATCCCGTTACCAGCTCTCAGTGGGCTACTCCTATTGTGGTGATTCAGAAGAAAAGTGGGGTGCGACTCTGCGGGGACTTTAAAGTAACCCTTAATCAAGTGATCCAGTCGGAACACTATCCCTTGCCTCAACCGGAGGACATTTTTGCTACTCTAGCAGGTTGTAGCTGGTTTTCAGTTTTGGACTTGGAGGCAGCGTATCTCCAACTTCCTGTGGCGGAGGAGTCCCAACCACTCTTGACTCTAACTACGCACAAGGGCTTAGTGCGTTTGCGACGTCTGCCGTATGGCTTGTCTTCGGCTCCGGCTCTCTTCCAAGCGGCCATGGACAAAATTATTGGTGGCCTACCTGGGTCAGTGGCATATTTGGATGACGTACTGGTGGGTGGATCTTCGCAAGAGGAAGCGTTGTCACGCTTGGAGAGTGTTCTTCAACGTCTTCAAAGTTATGGAGTCAAGGTAAATGATTCTAAATGTAAATTCTTACAGCCGTCAGTACAGTACCTAGGCTACTGTTTGTCGTCAAAAGGGATCAGCCCGCAGGAGGGTATTTTGGAGGCGATTCGGAATGCACCCGAGCCAACTTCAAAGGAAGAGTTAAGAGCCTATGTAGGCCTTATAAATTATTATGGGAAGTTTATTTGCAATCTTTCAAACTTAGCTGTTTTTACGATCTACTTCGTAAGGATGCACCGTGGGTATGGTCATCCCAATGTTCTTCTGTTTTTCAAGAAAGTAAGACATGGGTATTGCCTTCAGATGTCTTAGTTCATTACGATGTAAATAGACCATTAGTTTTGACTTGTGACGCAAGTCCACGAGGTGTTGGTGCCGTGCTTTCGCACCTAATTGATGGAGTAGAGAGGCCTATTGCCTTCGCATCGAAATCCTTGAGTGCTAGTGAAAGAAATTATTCACAGTTGCATAGAGAAGCTTTGGCTCTTGTTTTTGGAGTAAAAAAATTCCATAAATATATTTACGGTAGGAAAAATGTCGTGTTACAGACTGACCATGCTCCTTTAGTGACAATCTTTGGAAATAAGCGGGGAGTTCCCTGTGTCGCCGCTGCGCGTCTTCAACGATGGGCCCTGATCCTCTCCGCCTACAGTTTTGAAGTAAAGTACCGCCGTGGCTTGGACTTGCCACATGCGGACGCTCTTTCGAGATTACCGTTACCTGATGACGACCAATTGGAGCTGGATTCCAACTACATCTCTCATGTTTCTTCCCTGGTAGAGGCCTTTGACTGTTTCAAATTGGTGAGTGATCTCAATCCTATTACTGCTAAGGATATCGCTCGACTTACTGATACTGATCCTGTTTTGACAAAGGTCAGAGATTTCATTTGGCATGGATGGCGTGATAGTCAAGATTCTGAGCTGGTTGCTTATTTTCGAAGAAGGGATGAGTTGTCCGTAGAGAACCAGTGTGTTTTATGGGGTAGTCGAGTAGTGGTGCCAGAGAAACTGAGGAGTGCCGTTATCCAATTGCTGCATTATCAGCATCCCGGAATAAATCGGATGAAAATGTTAGCCCGAAGCTTTGTTTGGTGGCCGGGGATTGATAAAACCATTGAAGAGACTGTTCTCTCATGTCATGTGTGTCAGTGTACAAGGAATGCTGTGGCTAAGGTGCCATTATGTCAGTGGCCTAGAGCTTCAAGTAGGTGGCAGCGCATCCACGTGGATTATGCGGAAGACCCACTAACAAGACAACAAATGCTCATAGTTGTTGATAGTTTTAGCAAATGGCTAGAAGTGTTTATCATGAAATCTACTACATCGTTTAAAACCATTGAAAAACTGCGTACGCTGTTTGCGTCTTTTGGCCTACCGGAAGAATTGGTCAGTGATAATGGCCCCAATTTTGCTAGTGGGGAATTCAGAGAATTTCTGAGCAACAACGGTATTAAGTTTACGCTCTCACCTCCTTACCATCCTGCCTCGAATGGGGCTGCAGAAAGATTTGTACAGGAAGTCAAGAAGAACCTTAAAAGACAGGTTATGGCTAGTGGTTCTGAGACCATTTCTTTACAACATAAATTGGATAATTTCCTCTTTGCATTTCGCAACACACCCAGTAGGCTACTGTCACTGGTGTTACCCCTGCGGAATTGTTCCTTCAATGGAAACCGAGAACTAAGTTGACAATGCTTAAACCCTGTTTATTGTCAGCCATTGATAAGAAGAGGTGCAGAAGGAAGCAGCCGATAACCATCGGGGAAGTTTCAGATCCTTTGTGGAGGGAGAAAGGGTGCTTGTGAAGTCAGTACGGCAGGAGATCATTTCTTGGATTCCTGGGAGAATTTTGGAGCGGAAAAGTCCGTCTACTTATGTGGTGAGCGTCCTGGGAGGTAAAATACGTTTCTGCCACGCTGATCATTTGAGATCTAGTAAGTTGACTGAGGAAGAGGAAGTTACAGTCAATAGGCCGGTAGTGCAATCTCCGATCAAATCCCCTGAGCACAAGTCTACTGTGGGAATACAAACTCCGCCAGAGCGATCACCTCGTGTCATGGAAACTCGGAATACATCACCAAGACAACAACGGAGTGTAGGCCTACCAAAATCTCCAGCTACGCACACTACAGACGAGCATCCCGAAGTGCAGCCCAGCCAGCAGTGCAGCCCGCCATCACTTCGGAGATCTCAAAGGACTGTGCAAAAGCCGAAGCGGCTCGACCTTTAAGTTAAAAGGCCGAGTTCGAGAGAGAAGATTTTATGTTTATTTTATTTGAAGAAGAAAAGTTTATTTAGTATTACTGAAGTATTTTGTGAAGCTTATAAACAAACAAAAAAAATTGTAAAAGAAGAAAAAAAAAATGTTGATTTGGCTTAGCCTAGAAGAAAAAGGTTAGGCCGTTAGAGAAGAGTTTTATTTTAAGTTTGGGGCGAGTGTAATATATAAGGCTATATTACATTGCCAGAAGATTATTGAGTTCGTGTGTGTGGTTGGCTGCACTGCTGAGTGACGTCACCGACTAGGAACGATGGCACGAAGCGGAGTGGAACGGCAGTCGGAGTTAACATGCTAATTAGTAAGTTGTCCCTAGTATCGGGTTCTTTTAATCTTACTAAGTATCAGTAATACAGTTATTACAGTACGTGTTATTAAATTTACGGAAAGTAAATAAAAGAAACGTCTTATAACACTTAAAACATATATTTACGCTTATACTGTTACTCACAAGACGGTAAATATACAAAAAAGATGGTAAGTGGTATATTTAACATCTTGTGAGTAACAGTATAAGCGTAAATATATGTTTTAAGTGTTATAAGACGTTTCTTTTATTTACTTTCCGTAAGTAATTTTGTGTAGATTATCTACTCAAGTTACAGCGTAACATAAAGGCGGGTCCGCATATTAATTGAGTGCTAAGCAGCTACCTAGGGTGTGGATAGGTGTTAGTCTACTCATAATTCTGTGAACGCCAATGCTTGTCGTTTCTATTCTTGCTCCAAGGTTACTCTTTTGCACATATCAAAGCAACTAGCCTGACTGCTCGGAAATGGATGAATGGGTGGGCAACCCGGCTCAGAAATCAGCAAATATCTACAAAAGTAGTTTGCCAATGATAAAATATTTAGCGCTTGGTAAATACCGAATGTGCAGACCCGCCTTAAAATAAGCTAAGTTAGTTGTTGTCTTGGCAACCAGGCAAACTTCCCTTACGCATCAACTGCCATTGTCGTATACTTAGCCTACCAGAGCAACAAACTCCAGCTTGGAATACAACGAAAGGTAGTCCAGAAGGCTGTTTATCCCATGAATGGCTAACTGTAGGCTTGTAAACGTTTCATTAGAGTCTGGTACAGTCACTGGTAGTGACATGGATAAAGAAACGTCCAACACTATGACTGTGGGCATGGTGACGAGGTTGTCTGAAACAGGTATTTGGTAAAAGCTAAAACATTAAAGTGTTTGATTAGAAATATTGTATTAAACACACAAAAGGCTATACTTTTAAATACAATGAAATGCACATTTGGATGTTGTAACAAAGTACTTGGATTCAACATAAGTTATAACTTACCTCTCACTTCCAAACAATGCAAAAGCCAAACACTGATTAAAGCCAGCCACAGAAAAACATACATCAAGTTATTCAAACTTTAAGTTAAAACATAGACTAAGGCATTGTCTGTGGTTAAAGTAAGTGATAGGCCTAGGCTTAAAGTTACTTAAAAGTAGCCTACAGTAGTTTTAGTAAAACGTATAATTTTAGTAAGAAGCGTAAGTTAACAAGGCTAAAATAATAACTCTGAATGGTGATGCATATTACAACTCAGGCAAAAAACCTAAGTTTATCCAGAAAATATGTTAGGCTAACTTACTTTATTGGAACCAAGTTTGTAGCTTAGTGGTACTTTTCCGACATAAACTTCGGCCTAAGTTACAACAGCAAACCTCCTACCAAAAAGTGTTACCGGGGTAATCAAATCCATAGGGAAATTATTAAGTTAGGATGTATAAATGCCATTTATTGGTGGGAAAAACTTAGGCCTAGGCCTATATGACAATATGATGCAGTTTTCCTCGAATGTTCTTTTTGCTGTAAGGGTAACAATTAGGTCTGTACCCCGGCCCACAAACGAAGCCTAGGACTAAAATCGGGGGCTTCGTAAAACTTAAAACGTGTTTATACTAACTTAGGGAATAAAACTCTTGTCTTTTTAAACTTGTAAGTTTACAACAAAAGTTTCTTAAATTGGTGCCATAGCCCAGGTCTGATACTGAGTAGTTCATAGCATTTATGTTCAAAGCAACTCATTGATATAGGGTAGCCTATTTATTTATTGACGGACATAGCTCTAACTTAGGTGTAAGTTTACTTACCCCAAAAGTCTATGAAGAGTAATTTATAATGAGATGCCGCTCTCAGCTTTACTTAAGTTAATCTAAATGTTATTTCATAAAAACAAAAATCTTTACATCTTCAAACAAATCTTACACACGATGAAGATTAGGTCTCTACCCTGCCTTGCTACCCTTTTACCCTACCATGTCTACAATCATGATAACCAATAACCATAAACCATAACCTCTAGCCTCTAACCTCTAAGACAAGACACTTTTATTATTATTGTTTACAACAGGTTCATCGTCGCGCGACAGCTCAGTTTCAGTTCAGGTGGTTTCAGTCCTTTTAGTGCAGTTTACAGTCCAGTCAGTAGTCCAGTCCGCACAATTTGTTTTTCAGGATTAATTTTGCCAACAGTGTCATTTAGAGGCTTCTGATTTCAATGAAGGTTTACTGATTGAAAAATTAGTTTTGTTAATAGAATAAAATTATAAATGCCTCAAATTCAATTTTATATTTTTTTATTGTGAAATTAAATCGTCATAACCTAACCAAACCAACCAAACGTGCTGACAATGAAAAAATCTAATGAAGGTTTAAGTATTAATCGAAAAAATAGTTGTGTTCATAAAATAAAATTATAAATGCCTCAAATCCTATTTTATAATTTTTTAATTATAAAATTAAACTATCATAACCTAACCAAACTAACCAGACTTGCTGATAATGAAAAACCGAATGAAGGTTTTATTCGAAAATATGTTTCTGTTCATAAAATAAAACTATAAATGGGTCAAATTCAATTTTATAATGTTTTAATTATAAAGGCAGAGGATACACGTCCGGTAACCAGACGTGGATTAGACGTCCGGCAATTACTGTCATAACCTAACCTAACCAACCAAACTTGCTGATGATGAAAAAATCGAATTAAGGTTAAATTCTTTCTCTATTAAAAAATTATAAATGCCAAAAATTCTAATAAAAGATGTACAGTTAAGAATAAATGGTATTCAATGCAAAATCTTCGACAAAAAGTTAAAGTTACCAATGGGACTCGAACCCTGGACCTCTTGCATATCAGCCGAGCACCTTAACCACTACACCACAATCACCGATGGCTGGTCATGGTATTGTTGTAGTAAAGGCGTTCCAGGCTCCCGCAACCCCATGACGTCATTGCCGTACGCCTTATCCACGTCCGGTTACCGGACGCGTATCCTCTACGAATTATAAAATTAAACCATCATAACCTATCCAAACCAACCAAACGTGTTGATGATGAAAAAGTCCAATACAAAAAACACAGAGGATACGCGTCCGGTAACCAGACATGGATTAGGCGTCCGGTAGTGACGTCACCGGGTTGTGGGGTCCCGGAACGCCATTACCACAACGATACGATGTTCGGCCAGCGTTGTTCGTGGTGTAGTGGATAGAGTGCTCGGCTGATATCCAAGAGGTCCCTGGTTCGAAACCCATCGGTTACTTTAAGTTTTTGTCACAGATTTTGCTTTGAATGTAATTTCTTCTTAACTGTACATCTTTTGTTAGAATTTTTGGCATTTATAATTTTATGTTATGAAGAGAATTGAACCTTCATTTGATTTTTTCACTATCAGCAAGTTTGGTTGGTTAGGTTAGGTTATGACAGTAACTGCCGGACGCCTAATCCACGTCCGGTTACCGGACGCGTATCCTCTGCGTACAAAAAATGGTGCTACGGGTGGGATTCGAACCCAGGTCCTTCGGATTATCAGTCCAGCACTCAATCCACTACGACTACACCATCGAGGCCGTTGACGTTAATCAGTATCGTTGCGGTAATGATGTTCCCTCAGCCAATCAGAAGCCTAAAAATAATACTGTAGGCAACACTAAACCTGAAATAAAAATTCAGCGTCCAGTCCACCACCAGTCACCTGAACCTGATAGTCCAGAAGCTGAGGGGGTTTGGAAATAGTTATTTGTGCAACTAGTGAGAAAAGTGAGCAATTGACTCACTCGAGAGAAATCCTTACTCACATGGTTTCTCGAGTGAGGCAATTGTACTTTGAACTCGAGTAGCACATAATACTTTTCCTACAGTTATAAAACAAATAAATTGGTGAAGAAACATAACCTATTTTTACACAGAAGTGAACTTTTAATATAACATTTAACGTGAAGTGACAAATACAACAGTACAACAGCTGACCAGCTGATTTACAGCCAGTGCTGCCAATGTATTTCGCGCGCATATACGACGTTGCCAGCATGTTACGCGCTCACTATTTCGTGCCTTCACGTTGCAAATCTGGAGTGAGACAAAGTAATTAGAGTGAGACAATGTTAACATTGTCTGACTGATGAGCGAATTGGCCACTTTGCTTTCTCAAATCAGTGAGAGAACATGTACAGTGTTAGGTAACTGTAGGAAAATTAATTTTCCTACAGTTACCAACAATGTACATGTTCTCTCTCACTGATTTGGGAAAGCAAATCGGCCAATATGCCAATTCGCTCATCAGTGAGACAATGTTAACATTGTCTCACTCCAGATTTGCAGCGTTAAGGCACGAAATAGTGAGCGCGTAACATGCAGACAAGGTCGTATGCGCGCGAAAAACATTGGCAGCACTGGCTGTAAATCAGCTGGTCAGCTGTTGTACTGTTGTATCATTAAATGTCACATTAAAAGTTCATTTCTGTGTAAAAATATGTTACGTTTCTTTACCAATTTATTGTTTTATGGCAAAGTGCAATTGCCTCACTCGAGAAACCATTCCTCACTCGCCTACCGCTTGTGAGTAAGTATTTCTCTCGAGTGAGTCAATTGCTTACTAGTTGCACAAATAACTATTGCAAGTGTCGCAAAGAAGTAATATCATTGACTACATATAGTCTATATATACCTATATAGGTATATATATATATAGTTATATAGATTATACCTGTAGGTATATAAAGACAATGGTAATATCAAATATCTTTGCTGATAGTAGTTGTAATATGGACTGTGGGGGAACGCGCCACCACGTCAACCAGCCATCAAAAAGAAGAAGAAGTGAGGTGGCAGTTTGACATGGTGGCTAATCCAAATTTGTTGCATAGCTTATAATCTTGAAAATGTGGCATAGCTTATAATGGAAAATTTAAATTGTTCCATAGCTTATAATCGTAGAAATGAGGCATAGCTTATAACGGTTTTCTTAAAATGTGGCATAACTTATAATGGCATAGCTCAAATGTGCTGCAGCTTATAATATCTCGTTTGTTCTATAGCTTATAATTTTAAAAACGTGGCATAGCTTATAACGCGCGGGAATTACGTCATAGCGGATGGGACAGCTGATCGATCCTGAGTAGACAAAAAAATTATCGTGCAATGGTCCTCAAATTATCGTATGGACTAGCAGCCGCTACTCGGCAATAAGAAGTTGCGTTAAGTGCAGCCAACGTAGCAAAACCAAAAGTATTTCAATTTTTATTTACTCCTGGACGACATATGTAATAGATGTATATATTAAATGGTTTTTTGTTGAATAATAGAATAATTTTTTGTATCTGCTGTTTTACTTTAATTATGTAAGCTGAAATATATTATCATAAGTTTGATATTGCTCGTGTTGCTTATTTATGCTATGCATGATAACTATTGTATAATATTTATTTTGTAATATTGTGTAATACCGGTGTAAAAATACTTTTTTATAGATAAAACAGTAGACTATGCAACATAAGTAGACTTCTCATCCCATTGTTGATTTTGAAGCTTATTTTTCGTGTCTAGTTCATGTAGCCTACATCGACACTGATCGCTAGTGTAAACGAAATCTTGTTTGATTTGTGCTTTACTGTTTGGTTATATAACTAGGAGACCAGTTATTTTTTATGATTAGATAGTTTTATTTGGTTAAATTAGGTTTTAAATAACTGAAATAACAATTAAGAAACATATTGAAAAAAAACACAACCTCTACAGTCGGCATAGAATAGCAATAAAATTGGCTTCAGCTTTTCAACAAGAATGACAAATCTTCTAAGGGACTGTTTGATCTATGATCAAAACATATTTAGTAGATTTGTCATACTTATGGAACAGCTTAAGCCCAAATTTTAGTTTTATTTCTGTACGTTGCAATGTAGATTATAGAGGTCATGTTTTGTTTACAATTTGTTTCACTGTTTACGCCTTCATTTAGCCAAATAAAACGATCTTGTCATAATGTCATGTAGCGGTCAGTGTCACAGGACAAGAACTACAGTAGACACAAAACCCGAGATTTAAAATTTACAAATTTACAGTCAGAATTCTGTGTTTAAATTTAGAGTTATCTAGCAGGTGTTCACCTTTGAGATTAAAGTTAAATTTAACAAGCTGGCCTTCCTCTCTATGGAAAATTAGAACTGTGAGTTTTAAATAAGAAAGTGCAATGGTGAGATATGAGACCTGATTATGGTTGTAAAGTATATTTTTATGGGAGCGCGTTAAGGTGCCGCCACCATGGCACACAAAAATAATAACGTCGATAAATCTTTGGTTAGTTTCTTTAAATGGTAATACAGGGAGCCAGAAAGTAGTATTACTCTTCATGCAATATCAGGATGACTTTACCTTGCAATTTCTTAGCTATGGACCACTCTACTGTCCCATAAATGCAATTTTTATCCACTGACAGTTTATCACTCCTCCTCTGGAATGAAATTACCTTAAGATAGTTCAATAAGAAATAATTTAAAAATGTATGTCATAAAAAGGATTTTCCTCTGATTTCGTAATGAAACGTTATATTGCAAAGCATGACATGATAAAAGAAGAAAATCTATTTTAAAATCAGAAAATAACTTGCAAATACTTACTTGGTAGAATTCAGTAGATCCCAATAAATGTGTTTTGTTTGAAATACAATTTAATAAACGGTATCAGCATTCTAACACATACTTTCTCCCATAAGTTTGTCAACAAATACATGTGTGTTGATTATCATGTGTAAGCGGTGAGAGTAAATATACGGAAATAGGATTTGTACAATTTTTTTCAGAATTTAAAGGACTATAACATACTAAATTTTTATCAAAATCGTTTGGGCCATTTTTTAGAAAACCAATTTCTTCCGTTATTTTATGGAGCTTTATGGGAAAATAACATAATTTTCAATAACTTTTGAACCGTAATTTTTACAGAAATGGGATTTGTACCATTTTCTTCAGAATTTAAAGGGCTACAACAAACTAAATT